ACGAGAACGATGTTCAAGGTTCGGAGGAAGAATCTCTTGGCAAGGAATGCCCGCAGGTCGTATCAAGCGGGGACAATGCGCCGTTGGAGTCGGCAACACCTTCAAGCAGCCAAGGCCGGTTAACTAAGGACGATGTGCCAGTGTTAGAGGGAGACGTTCCTAGACAAAAAGGAGATGGAAACTCTCCTCGGCAGCCACTGGATGTCCTCGGCGACTTGGATCCCACGTTTAGCACTCCTGCTCACAACCGAGACCGCGACGCGCTCAGAAAAGGGCCGCCTCTGGATGCTGTACCTGTTGCGAGCAGTGCGGGCAGCCGGCGTGTGAATCGCGAAAAAAAACGCAGCAACGAAGGTCTCAACGCGATGTCGCTCATGAACACACAAATTTCAAAGGATGCAGGGCACGTATCGCCGTCGAGAGCGCCGCGCCTCCCAGGGAGCAAGAAGAAAAAGAAGTTTTCCTACGTGAGCGACACCACATGGATGAAGCCAAAGGAGGAACTGGCCACTGAGACTTCCTCTCCACCGCCGGAGCTTGAGTCAAGAGCGGCCGTGACCGGTGGGCATGCTCCGAGCCAAGCACCTCCTGCCAGAAAGCCTCTTGCGTCAGATTGTGCTGCCCCCGAGACTACGGCGGGCGCTGCTGAGGTCGATCAAGCGTCGACACCACGGAGAAATCGGCATCGACCCCCACTGGAAAAGGATCAAGGTCTTAAAAAAGCTGACACAGGTTCGCGAAGAGTCCGAGTTGTGTAAGGTCTTGTGTATGTCAAACATCATGTTTTCCCTTAAACACGAGCGTGCATAAAATTCATAACATGAGGCCGAGGTTTCCTTTTGCTTCAACTACGAACAACCGTCTTAGATGCCTCCTTACAACCGTGTACCATGTTGAGCAGCCCGCCAGGTGTGGTCTTTGAGACGATTAATGCCGGAGGAGCGAGAGAAAAAGAGGGAAACCTCCGATGTGGATGGTGGTGCGGGATGAAAAAAGAAAGAAGTCATCATTGCAATAGCAGCTGATTGGGTGCATGCAGGAATGGTATCCTTGTTGTTGTCCCCTTGACACCTGAAACCGAACCGTCCCCACCTCCTCAGCTTTTTTGCCGGTGGAGACGCGATCGGAAGAGCCCTTGGAGGTGCGTGCCGAGGATGGAAAGAGCAACGGTGGGAGCATGCCAGTGACAGAAGAATTCGCTGAGGCGGTTGCTCTGGGGCACCCGGAGGGTAGGCCCGCCCCAGACGAAACAGTGACAACAGATCTCCCCCAAGATCAGGCCGATGCGAACGGGCTCGAAGAGCCACACGAAAGAGAGAACGGGACTGGCCACGCACGGGCTTTCCAGGAGGGAGACTATCAAGAAGAAGCGCGCCAGGGGATAGAAGACAGGGATGAGGTAGAACCAGATATCTGGAACGAGGGGGTGGCCACGATCGGCGCAAAGAGAATGTCGTCTGAGAACGGTATGGGTTCTCCGGCAGAGGAATGGATTCTTGACGCTCCGGAGGGATTTGCTCCCTCCAAACGAGAAAAGCTGCAATCGGAACACCCCCTGGCCGTGATGCGCCACTCGGCTCGTCTGGACGACGCCATCTTCGAGCGACAACGAAAGCTCGGAGCAATGACGGCGGGTAGCGGTAGCGACGAGGATGTCGCCAAAAAGGCGGTCAGCGACGGAAGCAAGGGCTTGGAGAGTTGCGACGGGGACGAGTTAGCGGCGGTACCTTGGCCTGACAGGGCGCTCCGGCCGTACGATTCTCCAATAGTCGACACCGATCTTCCCGCTCGACAAGCGAAGGCGCTCGGCCGGCTCGGAATGGGCTCGCAAACCGTGATAATTTGCTCTCCGTTCCGGCGTTGCCTTCAGACGGCCGGCGTGGTTGCCCGGACGCTAGGCGTGGCAAGCGTTACGGTACACTTGCAAGTAGGAGAACGTATGGACAAGGTGCGCAAGGAGATTGCAGAGCTGGCGTTGGACAGCGAGGAACGATCGGATGGCACCTTAGCAACGAAGGAGACGGTCCCGGCGTTCAGCTACCTGGCGGAAGCGGACATGCGCGCGGCACTCGGAGCAGGAGTGCAGTTAGAAGGAATAGTCGGGGAACAGCCGCCAGAGGAGGAGAGCGGAATAGAAGCAAAGCAGCGTTTTATAGTCACCATCGCGAACGTGCGTGAAGAACAACTGCGTGATAGTCCTGTGCTGGTGGTGGCCCACGGAGACACGCTGGGCGCTGCTGGCGAATCCCTAGCGTCTCAGATTGTTTTCGAAGGTGAGATCTTTCGTGGTGCTCGTGCCGTGTGTAATGTTCTAAGTGGTTACTCAAACGTATCTCTTCGATCATTTTATACCGTTGTTGTCCTGCAACCTATGTTACTGCAGGTCAGATGATGTATGCCGCCATGTATAGCTCACCACCTGTGTAGAACTCTTTAATCTCAGCGGACACTCGAGATACCGGTACACGCGCATCTTTCGGCGATCTCAGAAGCATTGCATCGCAGTGTTTACGAATCGGTGGTTTCTCCTTGAACTGTGGCTGCCCGCCACCCCTCTGCACGACGCACTAGCTCCTTGATGGTGGACCTCCTCACCGAAATCTGATGGCATGCTTTCCAGAGTTAGCCGTATTTTCTCTTTAGTCCCTTAAAAGGTCACATCTCCCGAATGTCTGTCAAGGACGACTAACGACTCCCTCTTACGAGTAGACTGGCTTGCAAGATTCCCTGCTGATGAAAACACGTTTTGGGCGGAATGTATCTACCGGTCCAGTTGTAGCAATCGGAATCGCAGCTTGCCTCGGGCAACTGTGCTGGTCCTCTAAGAGTTTTTCGTTTTTTTTAGGTGGTCTCTCGTTTCCACCGGGCGTTTCAAACGCGGAATTTCAGTTGAACTCAACGTTAGTTATCACTTGAGAGATCCTTGGTATCTTTTTGAAGGTGGTGTAGAGAGCACAGACGAGATAAAGGTTGACAAACAACCAATCAATACAGTACCTGTGTGAAAAAATGTCGTGCGTTAATTCTTGTTGCATCCTTACGGCGACGGTTTGGTCAAGAAGAGAAAGGTAAGCAACGACGGACAACCATGGGCTAATATTCAATCTGAGGTAGAGAGTAGAGACGAGAATAAGATTCGCATATGCATGCAACCACAATCAACCGGTGCTGCGTACAAAAGTACGCCCGGTTTGATTTTGTTGCATCCTACAGCGTCCGATGTCACACGCGGGTGAACGGATCACCGACAAATGATGATGATGATGTGTGCCGAAAAAAGAGTCATCAACGCATACTTGTACATACGTACGTCACACAACGCACGCTCCCTACCGCTGTGATGCCACGCTAAAACAATTGAGACAGTCCAACGCTGCTGTACAGCACACCACGGGCACGACACGACCGCTCATCCCAATTCACAGCGAAGAAGTAAGGTGTCCGCTCGTGTGCCGGTCCACCGAGAGAAGAATAAAATTGAACCCGATGAAACACAGTGAAAATATTTTATCAAAGGAGCCGACAAACATATATATATATGCGCGTGCGCGTAAAAACAACACCAAATAAATGTACCCACCGAAACACGGCGGAATAAGCAGCCTCCGCGGGGCAGTTGACAGAGGTGTGCCCCGACCCTGTAGTTGGCAGGCTCATCCCGGCCTCGAAGTGGGTAATGCCGTTGTAGATTGGAAATTGATGGCAGGTAGGCAACTACACGCACGCGCAAATTGGTCGAGATGGGAGTTATCGTACAATGGATGCATGGATGGATGTGTTTCGAAGAGGAAAAGAGAGAGTAATCAATCATCAACTTGTTCACGTGTGTGCGAAAGGCGGAGGAACATACATGCGCGTCGGGAGGTCGCAGCGGTGTGGCCCGAACGTCTCGTTGGCAGGCAAAATTGTTAGACAGCCATTCCAGCGTCGAAATACAGCTGTAGGTTGGACGGGGGTTCAATTTGGTGGAGGATAGGCAACGTTTAGGCACACAAATCTATCGAGATCGGAGCAATTCGGTGCCGGAAGCACCTGCTGGCATGCTGGTGTTTCGTGCTTGGGAAGGCCGGTTACCGACACAGCCAAACGTTAACGCAGGAGGCATCTCGTTGAGGGCATCTAGAGTGCAGGACGGCCGATGGTTTGATTCCTCCCGCCTCGGGCATTAGGCTAAAAAAAGTGCGTGGTTCGGAGCTTCGGGGTGAACGTATCAGATGTAGACACTTTTTTTTTTTACCGTTCTGTGAGACCTCTGAGACCGTAGCGGCCTCTTCGAAGTTCTACCTACCGAACGGCCTTTGCCTCTCTCACACGAGCTGCGATCCGGGGTCAAACAGACGCGTTCCTCCGCGGTCATATCTTGATTTGTTTAAGCTGGAAGGGCCCCCGCAGTTCCTTTGCTCAGATGTACTCACGAACAAAATAATTTGACCATTGGATCGAAGTGCGGGGAAGCACACCTGGCCGAGAGACTCAAACTCTCAATCTATCCGAGGTAGCCAACTACACCACCCGAGCGACCCGATTGATAGCCGCAAATAGTGGCGATCACCAAAAACGTCGTGCTACCCTTTCATCGTGCGTGGTCGTATGCTTTTGGGCGATCTCTTACATTTGGCCGCATTCGTTGTTCTATTGGGGTGCAACGCGGTGTCGAATGTTAAGGAGATGCACCTCATGGCCAGCCCGGCGACGACCCACGCTTGAAAAAAATAACCCTTGCCTCCCCCCTCCTCGTCCTGCTTCGGCCGTCTTTTCGTCTTGCAGCGGACTACTGCGCGTGGGCGCTCTTCAACCTGGATACTCATTGTGGCTTCGTTACCGAATCGTATGGAATCCAAACGATACCGTTGTGAGGAGCTGACCTGACCAGGCCACGGTACTGGGACTTATTGCCCCTGGAGAGGATGCCTGCATTATGATGTTGGAATGGGCGTAGTGTTTTGCACAGAATCATTTGTTCCCATCAGCAGGGATTTTGGGGCAACTCGCTTCAAACAAACCTCCGCCTGCAGAGAGACATGAGCGAATGAATGTCTTGTGTCTCTTCCCTAGGCTCGTCTTCTAGAATCCAACAACCAGGCGCTTGAAAAGGCCACGATATACGACTTATTGCCCCTGGAGACGATGTCTGCAGTATGTTGGATGGGCGTAGCGTTTTGTACACAACCTTGTGTTCCACCAGCAGAGATTTTGGGGCAACTCGCTTCAAACAAACTTTGCCTGCAGAGACATGAATGAATACATGTCCTTTGTGGCTCTTTCCTTCTAGGCTTATCTTCTAGAATCCATGAACCAAGCGCGCCTTCAACGACGTCACCTACTGCAACTTATATCGGCACCTATCATCCGATGTAACCGCGGCTGGTCAAAAGAGCCCTTAGGTTTCCGAAAGCACATTCCATGCCCTCGTCGCACTGCACGATTCGCGGCAAGAGCGTCGGTGACGACGCGCCAGATGCCGCCGCAGCTGCACTTTTCAACCCCGGCCAAGCCTTCTGACAGCGCGCGACCAGACCGTAAAGTTTCTCGTCCGACAGAAGGTGTGCCTGCAAACAACGCACAAAGTGAGGAGCGTGTCACGGCAGCTGGTTCGTGCTGGTGGGGGGTCTAACTATTATGTGGACCATGCCTTGAAGCAAAACAATTCAAATAGAAACCAACACCTGTTCAGCTGTTTCTCACGTCTGGGGGGATTCTCGAAATGTGGTCCTCGAGCTCGTGCACAAGATCTTCTGCGAAAGCCACATCCACGGGGCTGGAACGTCTTGCCTGCGACAATCTCCAAGCCTCCTCGGAAGACATGAGCTGCACCGCACACAAGACGGAAATGCGAAACGTACGAAAACAAATTACGGGCCGGTACTTGGAGACGTGTAGCGACAATCTCCACAAAATTTACGGGACCATCGTGTTGGGTCGGAAAAAAGGGGAGACCTTCTGTCTCGTGTACAGGCTCGGAGGTAGGTGGTTGACTCAGAGGACAGACAGTCTCGGGTTCGAAGCAAAGTCGATCCTAATTTGCTAGCCTGTGATTGTCCATCTTCGCAATGATGTTCGCGTGGTTGTATTAAATTTTGAATTATACACATGCCCCTTCGATTCAAATAGGAGTCTTTCCTCGGGTATTTTATCGGGACACTCGCACAAAGAGAGCAGCAGATGTGGACTTGTTGTACGAGCGCCGCGCCAAGTCCCCGAGAGGATCCGAAGCACAGACAGAGCCACCAAGCAAGTTCGCTTACATTTAGGATGTAGTCTGTCCCCACCAGGGATGAGGACCTCGATTCCGGGCTGTGGGCAGGAAAAACGTTGGAGGACGATCCATTCGCACCAAGATTTCTATACGATAACCTTGGGCTGCTACTTCCAACTGCCGCCGGAGTCTGCAGGGTCGAGAGGCGCTCCGAAATCGTCAGGAATCTGCCAGGGGAGCGATTGTGTGTGTGCGTAAAGTCGGTCATGCTGTGTATTCCAGACGTCAGTTACACGATTCGGTGTGTTTTGGACGCACAAGCCTGGCAACACAGAACGGTATCACGTATTTCCTCCCTCCAACTTTGGATCTTCCGTCCAAATGTCAGAGGGTCGCGAGGATAACAACTGAACCTCTGCGCAATTTTCTTTAACTCATTTTCTCGCGTGTGAAAACAAAACGATCTGCATCCTGAGACCCTCTCCAACAAGCAGCTCTTCCCACTACTACTATATAATACCGCACCTGTCAAGATGGGACGACGCAAGCATATCCGGAAACCTTCGGATAAGCGTGGTCATGTACAACTCCAGTCCCTTCGCTCGGCGTTCAACCACGTCTGGTGCCATCTTGAAAAACTCCTTTAAGCCGGAGATATGCATTGATCGATTGCGGGGCAACATTGAGCGTTTAGAAGTGACAACGATATAAAAGTGGAACATGATCCTACAGTCAAACGTTGTGCGAGTCGCAAGTAACGCTCCCTTTCCCATTCTCGCCCACGTCCTGCACCATTTGTGTGTGTACTGTCAGCGGTACATTGTTTCCCTCCACCTCCATGCACCGACCTTGGGGGGAAGCCTTGGGAGGGCATCTTTCCGGTCGGGGTACGCGTCACGGAGGTCAAGGTCCAACGCGTCAAATTCTCGGTACCTGTAGACCCGCAGGCACGGTAGCGCAAGACGGGGGTCTCAAGGGAGCAACAAAAAACAGGAGAAATGGCACCGCTACGGCAACCTTCAGCACCTTGTTGACGTTGCAACACAGGAGCATCAGCCCGCCGTAGTTTGACCTGGTGTATAAACGCAATTGTCGTCACAGACGACAAACACCAGGCCTGTATTGCATAAGTCTGACGTGGACAGCACGGCCTCGACACCAGGTACAAATGTGAAGCCTTCGCGCAGGTCTCAACCCCGATGCCTCTAAGCCATGCTCACCTCCGTGCAACCATCCACGACATCTCGTGCATTGTGTGTACTGATTTCCCCCATTGACATCTCATGACGTGCTCCGTGTACGCGTCCCTCGTGTTGGATTCGATGCCGTCAGACGTCCCGTAGTACGACCACGAAAACACACCTCCTCGCACCCCTCTAGCGAAAACTTCCCCCGTGGGTCCGTGCTGTGTAAACCGTACATGGCACGCGTGATGCTGGCATTAGAGATTGTGAGTGTACAACTGATTCTGTACTGCTGACAGGGTCGATGATCATACGCGTACAGCGCGATAAAGGAGCAACAGACCCGTGGCAAAGCAAACGACGCAGGCAATCTCATGATCAGGGGTTGCGCCAGCTGCACACTTACCTCTCGCGAAGCCAATACCTTGCTGTCCACTTGACTTTTCCCTGAGGCTGGCGGCCCCAGCGATCGTACAGGAAGCCAAAGGAGAGCACCACACGATGCCGACAACAACGAGCACAGGCAAGCGCAAAATCACATCAGTCAACATCGGAAGCACACGCTTTCGCTACACAAAAAAACGCACCTGATAATCCCATCGAATTCGTTTCAATTCTCGAGGCTTTTTTCACCACTAAAACGCCCCCGCTATCATGTGCAACAGCCAAAACCACAACGGTGCCAGCGGAGCCGCCGCAAAGATCCGCGTTGGAAAGCACAGTGACTTTCGTACGAGGTTGCTGAAAGAGGCGGCCAATACCGTACGCACGACTAACGCTCGCCTCGCAGCTCATCCTCTTCGTCACGCCTTCCCTTGTCGAACGGGTTGAGCTTGGCAAGCCATTCCAGCGGGTTTCCTCCACCCTGATCACGCATCCACGTTGTTTGATATCGATTAAATTTGAGCTTTTAAGCGCAGAGCGACAGGGGCCAACGCATGCCAAAAAACAACTAAATAGGCTACAGTATTAACATTAGAACGTGAGTGGTGAAACAGGGCTTAGTACCGTACAAAGTACATGACGCTTTGGCAAACAAGGCAATCGAGCAAGCAGAAAACAGTCACCTACCGTCCATTGCTGCCATCAACCTGTCTCTCTAGGAAGAACCTCAATCGTGTCAAGTCGTCACCTGCACATCCTCGGAAATTGTTGATGCTCGTCTGGCAGCCATACTACGCCCTTCGGCGGAGTACCCGGTTCCTCCACGCGAAAACGTTATTAGAACAGGCCGTGGAAGCTTTGGAAGTACTGCCATAACGTCGTCGTAGGTCTCGTACCTTTGCGATCATGGAAAGGCAAAGGGGCGTCTGTTAATTGCAAGGCGAAAAGCTTCTGGCTGCCGCGGCTTATGTCGAGCACTGTGATGCATCACCCTAGCTTTACACTTCGGCAGTGAATGCCTCTCCATCACACGCGTCATGGCGGCAATACGGAAGACAAGACCGACTCTCACCGCTGTTTGTTGACGCCAGTCACCGTATCACCCTCGCTGACCCCGAGCGAATGAGCCGTGCTCCCCGTGTGTACCTTGCACACCACGCCTTGTCCTTTCTTTGGACCAGCATCTTCCCGAAACAGAGTGAATCCAAACCGCCCCTCTCCAAACGTGACCTGAGTGTGTCACCAGTGGGTATCGTTTGAGACAAGCTGCGTCCGGCAAACTGTCCGGTCAGAGAATTCCACGGCAAACACATGCGGTGAACCTGGCGGGTTGCACTTAACCCAATTGAAACGTGCCCAGCACCTTGCATTACGGGGGCGATTGAACTACAAGTTGGGAAACACCGTGCCGGAAGTTGAAAGCAAACCAGAGACCTATGGACTGTAGGTACAGCACGAGGAACGAACCACGCGCCTGACACGCGACCCAGACAACAACAACAATAGCAACAACAACAATAGCAACAACAACAACAACAACAACAGCCGCACCCTTTGTCCCTGTGCCTCTCCCGGTAGCACACACCCCTATCGTCGGCCTTCGACAAAACAGTGAGTTTGCGGGGCGGGCTCTTCTTGAACCCACCTCAAACTCTCTCTCGCCCTCGACTTCTTCCTGCCGCGATCCTCGTGGTGGTCTGCCAGCAACTCTCTGCTGCCCGTTTTCATCGCGGGAACTCTGCCAGCTAGCACCAACCGCGTCCACCCCGGCTTTGGCATCCTGCAAAAGCGTTTTTGCACCATCCCTGGGACCCCCATCCAGCACACATCACATTAGTTAGACGGCATCCGTCAAGCGCGGTGAACATGCCGTCTTCTTCCAAGTAACCTGCAAACACAATTTCTACGTTTGTTTGCAAATCAAACAAGGATTTTTCCAACCAACAACAAACCGCAAAGTTAACATCCAGCTCGTGACGACGGAAGTACAGCAGTTTGCAACACCATCCAGAGAACCGTCTCAGCATGTACCATGTACGACACGGACTATCTCCTCACACACACAAGCGTGCCATGCCAGACTACACGACGGCCGTATGGCAACGTTGTGCTGTTCATCGGAGCAGAGCCTTTCCAAACGCCGGCGCTGTTGTAGCGTTAGGCTGACCTGGCTGTGTTGAGAAAACTCCCGGCCGAGTCCTTCAAGGCGTCACCGCTTGCCCAGCCTCCCCGCCCCACCCCGCGGCCACTCGTGTGCCCTTCGTCCAACCCCGTCCTCGAGCTGCGCTCCCCTCGCGCCCGTAGGAGGTCTTCGTTGAAGTAATTTCCTCCAGAGAAGAGAGGGTCCGATGGTGCAGCATGTAGAGGGTGTGGGGGCACCTCACCAGACGGTGCTGCGGGTTGTTGTGGCCCCCAGCCGCCATCGAAATACGACGAAGCAGCGGGGGGGGGGCGGGGAGAGGCTGCGGCCGGGCGTGCCGGGGCGGGGACGGAAGGGGGGGGTGCTCGTGACCCGCCCGATAGGAGAGAGGTGCGCCTGCGCACTTCTTCCAGGTCCAACCCCCTAGATGGCTTGGACTTGCTCCTCGAGCGGCCCTTGGCAAAGGACACACCCGAGTACATATTTGGCGTGGCACGTATCAGTTGGGCTTCCACACTTTGCAGGGATCAAGCACAAGAGAAAGTGTCTTCTCATTGTCATTGGAGAATACGTTATGGTATACATATCTATCTAGTTCCTTTCGCTGTCTGCGGCGCGAAGACAGACACACAAACAGCCAGACCCACATCGAAGCACCATTGTGAGTCATCAGACTTGTCCGCAGCCAACCTCTGTAGCAAAAGCACAGCCAAAAAAGCGGCAAGCCTCACCTGAGCTAGCGAGGCTCGCGTATCATGGGTTGGTGCCGAAAAGGGGAGAGGGCTCGACGTCTGTGTCAATATATGAACGAAACGATGCAGCACAAGACCAGAGGGAGCCAGGTGAGAAAAGCATTGCGTTGTGACTACCCACGTCAGCAAGCAGAACGCGCCAATCCGCACACATCAAAGACAAGCTAGTCGTGCGAAATCCCGCCCACTAGGCTGACTGTGACCTACTCACCACGCGCTGGAGCGGAGAGTCCACTGGATCCGACGTGAGTACGCTTCCGTGGCGCCCACTCTGAACCTCGTCTTCTTCCTCCTCCGGACCAGTATCCGCCAAGCCAACGTCATCGTCGTCGAACAAGCTGCCTCGAGGATGAGATACGGTATTCTCCGCACTAATCATCGCTGACCGCAGCCCTCCGTGTGCCTTGGCCGTTTCCGGGGGAAGCTCTTTTCGCACGAAAGGGTCCTCTGTAGGAAGGGTTCAGTCATTCAGTCAAGAGCTTGCGGCGAAGGAGATGCGGCATCACCAGATATCCAGGGATGACAGGCAATTATAACCGACAGGAAGAACTACATCAAACGACCGCGGAAAACCATTGAGCAGTTTTCGGCATTGTGCTATGCGCTACGGAAAACGTTGGCAACGCCTACCGTGGGTGACCCCCCCCCCCCAGGTTAGGTGCAACACCTCGATGCAGAATACGACAGAATACGATGTTGGGCACCAGTTTTGGTTATGGCTCCCACATGCTCTCAGATCAGGAATTGAATTGGCAAGATCAATACACTCCCCAGAAGGAACATCACATCGTGCAATAGGTTCGTAGGATCGTCAAGCATATCGCTGGGTTTTGCTGTTCAACGATGCGTCACGTACGACCTGAGTCGACTTGGCTCGTACGGTCTCACCAAAGAGGTCTTCCTGCATCAGCGAGGAACTTGCGCTGGCAGCTCCTGAAGACGCTCTTCGGTCTTGCACAGCATTAGCCCACAAGACTTGCTTGCCGGACACACTCTCAGTGGCCGCAGGAGGGAACGCTGTTGATGTATAGCTCTCGGCACGTGCCAGGGAGACCGGCGGTTCAGGAGGAATCACATCCGCCGTCGTCTTGCTCTCGATGCCTTCGAGAAAGTTGGTCATCTGATTGAGGAAATCGTCTCTCTTATGCCGACTTTCCTGCAGACGACGGGACACAGGAGGACATCGCCAGGCCGTGTGATCGAAAGACTGTCCAAACGCCTCGTACGTTGTACAAGCTCAACAAGTATATTGGTAAATATAATTTATGCGGCTCAGACAAACAACAAAAAGCGCAGGATACTGATGTATGCGTACGTAGGATCGCAACGAACTGGCTTAATTCTTTTCGCATCGAATCTCGAAGGAGCCATCGGTAGCTGGTGCTACGATACATAGCCGAGGACTTTCCACCCTAGCCACGCACCTGTGACTTCCTCTTCTTCGCAGCGAGAGACCCTGTCATGACGGGAGCCACTTCTCCCCGGGCTGATGGTGCTTGCAGAGGGCTGTACACACAGCAGTAGATAGAAACAAAAGGTGTCGGCCCCGTTGTTATGTAAACTGACTCCAACACACCGTTCTCGCTTGTAGACTTGCCAGAGAACGAATGAGTGTCTTCGGGTGTATTCCAAGCAGTTATCTGGTGGATTGGCTATCCGCAACTTCTCGAAAAAATATCTTGAACGTTGATTTGTGACAGCATCATACGTAGTACTTGGTTGTCGTAGCCACCCAGAAGCGGCCCTAGTATCCTTGTGAGTAAAAGCTGGTGTCTTGCAGGGTGAACAGCACCTGCTTCCAATAATAGATCGGCTCGAGTGTGATTTCCCTGTTGATCAATCACCGTCATTTGGCCCCAGATACCCCCCGCCCAACTTAGGATTTTCAGGGCCTTTACTTGGGTGGTATGCTACATAATACCTTAAGACATGGCCTGATGGAGCCAAGTGAACTGTTCATGTCACCCCAGAATGGCTCGTAGATTGTGACGTGTCAGATGACCTGTCGCAGGTCTACCTTCGGGGTGTTGTCACAGATTAGATCCAGTGGGCGCGCTGAACCCGGGCCAGCTGCCCCCTCTCTCACGAGAAGTTTAACCAGGTGTGCCCTCCACACCACACACATATCCCATAAGAAAGATCCGCATCGCGAACCTGCTCACAGATCCGTCTAACAACAACCCCCACGTGTGTGGAACCCCTTAACTATATTCGAGGCGTTTGAATTTTGTGGCAACGTCTTTTCAGCAAAATAGCCACAAGAACTACAGCTGTAGGTTGGCGTTTACCGTTCAAAACAAGAGCAAAAGGTCGTGTACCTTGCACTAGCTGCGGGTTTGGCGCGCGGCGCCCCAGCGGTGTTGGAGGCTGGCTTCGGAAAGGAGAGCTCGAGCAGGTCTGCGAACGGATCTACCTCCGCCAAGGGGCCTGATGCACCACCAACCACATCCGCCTGCTTTGGATTAATGAACAATCGGCAGCGGTCGTGAGGAAAACAGTCCGTCTAGACATCTGACCTGTAAACTACATGTGCCGCGGTGTGCGAGCACTGGTGAACGAGATGCCGAGAAGCGGCACAACCTACGCACAGCAGAGAGGTCAATATCAACGGATCCATGATTGCAAGCTTATCATGTTGAAAGAGCGCACACCGCAAAACGATTTGCAGGCATCTCGCATGCACAAGAAAAGCCGAGGGGCGTGAGCACGGCCGCTGCTGTGAGTACTGCGGCAGGTTGCACGACCTCGGGTTGAAATATTTTATTCTTTTTCCATGCTGTGTTGGAGGGAGGCAATTTCTCCGCTACACCGCGCCCCCACCCACACACCTTCAAGGAGACGCTTTAACTCTAATGACTTAGGCACGCCCATGCTGCTACCGTTAGTATGGTAGGAGACACATTAGCTGCGTATTCGTTTCCCCAGCATGGGACGGATGGACGGTGGTTGACAGCGCCCAACAACATCAATACTTGTCAATACACGGCTCTGCTGTGGGACTACTGCTGCTGAAAACTGCTGAAGACTGCTGTAGACTCTAGACGTCCAAGTCATCTCCAATCTCCAAACGACAAGTCTGTCACAAGACGGCACAGGATCGCCATACCTTTGCCCCCTCATGTCCATCCTTCTCTTGGTCCATTATTGTTCGAGCCGAGGGTTCAGTGATGCTACTTAAATATACGAGAGGTGAGAGGTGACGTTCAGCCAGCTGGTCAAGCAGCAAGCAGCAGTGCGGCGTAGTCTTGTAGCCGGGTACGCAGACCGAGAGGGTTTGCATTCTGAAAAATTGTCTGTGGCAGGGTTGGGGGTTGGACTTCCCTGCATATCTGTACGTGAGCTGTCTATGCCTAGGAACACACATATGCGTGTGTCTCTGTCTATCTGGATCCAATAACGAGCAGCGGGTTAGGTGTGTGTCAGATGGCGTTGCATTGTAGCGGCAAGCCACGTTAGCGGGTACGTAGGCTGAGGGGACATACGCCAACCGTCGCACCGCGTATTTTACCTCTTGTGATCTTTGACTTTCTTTGGTAAGCGAACTAAAATCCGCGTGGTGGGTGCCGCCAAGACAGCAGTTGGAGTCTCGTCTTGCTGGTCTCCTGGTAATTCCACCACCTCGCGCTAAATGTGTTCATCCCTCAATAAACCTGGTGGCGGTGAAGGTACTGTGGACTACATGAGTCTATCTACGGTAGCTACATCACATGTAGACTAGATGAGCTTGTGTAGACTTCTTCGGTCAATTATTGTCTTGACGAGGGGGGAGGCAATGAATGATGGATTCACAGTTGTAGGCAGGCCCAACTCAAGCCCGGACAATGCTGCTCACGAATGTTCGTCGTTCGAATCGTTGGCGGTCAGCGGCAAGATTGCAACTTAGACTCACTTTTAATCAATCATCGTGTTGTTTTTTTTTTGGTTACCGCAGCTTTGAGGCCTCGAGCACACACTGACTGGTGGTCAGAGGCGGCAGGTTGTGGGTAGGTTGGGACAGCCACTACAACCTGGGGGGGGGGAGGTTGCAGGGAAGTTGCAGCCCAATGTGTGTGCGTAATCCCGTATCTCGGATAGTGGCGTTGTTCCAACCAACACGGCGGGCTGCAAGACTAAAGAAAGAGTAAGAATGGGTTCAAGGTCGAACTCGGCCTGCCCCCCCCCAGGTTGTATAGTGGGTGCCCAACCTGCCCCTCTGGCCACCAGTGTAGGGGTGATATGGACCTGGTCGGGCACCACGCCAGTGACAGAGCCTACAGAACCCTAACAAGCAGACGCCACATGAGGGAGACAAACATCCCGGTCATCTTGACTTTCATACATACCTTCGCGGGCATTTATTTTCGCCATGGTGTGGCTGATGCGAGCTACCAGTAGTTGTTTACGCACTACGAGACGTACGCATAGACATCCTGCAAAAGTTCTGCGTGTCGTTTTCTAACGAAAAACTCGAAGGGACACCACGGATACAGCGGTTCACCAATCGAAATACCTAGGGTGCCTTTGGTAGGAACTTCAGCGACCAAGACGGCGTATACATGTCATCACGTCGGGAAACTTACCCTGAGGGGTGGTTGGTAGGAGTCCTAAATCATAGACACTCACGGATGAATGTACCAGGTCCAGAAGGTAACGAAAAGCTTGAAATGGGCCGCCGGGACGTTTGACGAGGCAGTAGCTAGCTAGATAGGCGGTGAAGGCAATACTGTAGGAAATCTCCCATTTGTAGAAACGTTCATGCCTACCAAAAACTCGAAATGGACCACCGGGACGTTTGACGAGGCGTGTAGCGAGCTAGCTGGGCGGCGGAGGCATTACTGTAGCAAATCTCCCATTTGCAGAAACGTTCATGCCTACCCACCAACAAACAACCAAACGCGCTCCAACGTGCGCAGTCTGCAAGCCTCTCAAAGATGACATGACGTGTTGACTGACCAGTCCGCATAATCCACGAGGGCATCAAGATTGGTCAGGAACCTCATAGATTCGTCGCTAAGAAGACGCGCTGCACGCACACCAGGTAGGGCGCGCGGAGTTTGGTCGGTTTCCGAACTGATCGAGACTGACTATAAAAAGCTCGCATAAGCCTTGCCACTGGGGGATCAAAACTCGGTATGGGCAAGATCTCTGTGGCTCACTGTAGGGGGAACGGTGGCAGTGCATGCACGGAAACAACGAGCCGTGCGGTGCCTCAGCAGGGAAGGACCGCTCAAGACCCATACATCCCCCCATAAAACTCATTCCCGATGTTTCCTTCCTGGGAGTTGCAGCTCCCGCCTTGTTTATCGTTCTTAGGTCATCCTCCTCGTGGTGATCAAATCTCACAACAACGGCATACACAACGAGAACAATTCATACAAATATCTTGAAAGGGCTGTTGCGGCGGTGCAGCAGATTGCCTTCTTGAGAAGACGAATACTGTGTAGTTATATTGAAATCATACACATACATGTGTTCATGCATTGATGGACGAAAATATGCACAGAATAAATGAGATGAGAGGGAGAGGGGGTGAGAAGAGAGAAAGAGAGAGAGACAGAGGGTGAGGGAGAGGTAGAGAGGAAAAACAGGCAGCAGGCAATACAAAGAACACAAGCAACGACGATTCTACAGGGTAGGCGTGAGTGTGTGATCATCAAGAGGGTGATGCAGGTTATTCGCATTCAAATTCATGATCCCCCCCCCAGCACATATGATGTTGCAGTCTACACACACTAAAATATGCGCCGCGACCACTACAGTTGCTGAGAAGGATACACCACCAACTCCTGCTACGAAATGTCGGTTACCGCTGCACGCACGGCTAAAATCGGCGGCTTTCGTACATTTTTACGACCTGCAAAGTAGTAAGAACAACGTTGTTACGAGAATGGGGCTGGGCCTTTCGCGAAAGATAAGAAAAACGAGCAGTAAGACGCACACCTCAGCCGTGGATCCTATACTAAACTCTATGTAATGACCTATGCTCGACGGTGGTGACGAAATAAGAGAGTGAGCCCCGACCCCAAATCGACGTCTCTCGAAGCGATTGACGGACGGGGAACTCGTGGGCGGGGAGGATCCAGGCAAGGGGTGCCCGGGATAGAAGTGGTGGCAGTGCCTGACGCACGACTTCCAAGGTTCGAAGCTACAGCCAGATCCACGAACGACGCCAAGAGAACGTGGGGGTTTCCCTGTGCCATCTGGACTCACTCTCGCAGCGGAGGAGGAGGTGGAAGAGGTGGTACCTTGGTACACGGGGGGGCTACTAAGGGGGGCGGAGAGGTTCAAGTTCACCTGACATGAGGAGGAACAGGAAGGCCAGCAGACTACGTGCGGGAAAACAGGACAGCCAAAAGAGCCACGTACAAGAATGACACATTCACCGAGCGGAGGGAGGGGGGGAGCACAGAAGAGGACGAAGACCCAGTTAGAGAACACCTCCGCAGAACGTGCAGCGAGATGTGTTCCGGACGGAGTATGTTGGAGGTGGCAGAATACCAGCCATATGTATGTCTCCCTTCTCTTTGTACCGCGATGTGATCCTGTTTTACGTTTATTTAGTAACACTTTGCATGTGTATGTATCTGTTCAAGTTTTCCGACTGGTATGGGTGCCCGCCGTGACGTTTATTTAGTAACACTTTGCATGTGTATGTATCTATTCAAGTTTTCCGACTGGTATGGGTGCCGACGTGTACGGCGGGGAAGAGCCTGGCCGGCGAGAACCTAGCATGGTACCTGTTGAGAAGCACGATCACCACTACACCACCACTCAGCGCTGACTGGAGGTGTAGTGGTCATCGTGCTTCTCAACGAAACGGTCTGGCTTTGCAGCCACGAACACGTCCGTCCCCCCAGGGTTGCCATCCCTGTGATCAGCGTTGTCTTGCCTGGCGATCGCTATCGGTACAAGAGTTTCATCGGTTTATTTTGCGAAGCCTATTTCCTCAGACTTTTTTCTTTCCATATATCGGGCGCAAAGAAGTTTATAATATCCCAGCATAGCAGTAAGGGATGGAGGATTGATTGTCAATGTCTTGTTTTCTTGTTTTTTTCCGTCCGAGTGAGCTTACAACGCCCGGCGACGCTATATGAATGTATTGTTGTGTGTGCGTGTGGGGAATGGCTTGGCCGGTGTAAATCCGGCGGCGGATACACCCCGGCTTAGTACCACAGGGCTACAAGGAAGGATAGTATCAGGCGGCTCTTTCATTGGCTTGTCTTGATGGATTGGTTATCTTTGATTCGTTCGTAATTTTGTTTTGCTTGGCATTTCGGGTGCCGAGCCGCGACAGGCACGATGGGCGCTCTTTCTTGTTTGTCTGGATGGATGGGTCCTTCCGATTTCTAATTTTTATTGTTGTTGTGCTTTTCTGGTTTCGTCTCCCGGTTTGTTTTATATATTGATCTGTTTATTATCGCGCTCGAATACTTTCTGAGTCCATGTTTGATTGCTTCCTTGGTGTAGTTTTAGAAAATACGTTCCCTTTGATGGAAGCCGCAAGAGGCGCGGAGAGGTGGCACCCCCCCCCTAGACCGACTTTCAAAGCTCGATTGCTCCACAACCAAGTGCGTGCGGAAAGAGCCCGATACGTCTATGGAAAGTCCTGGAAGAGATGTATGTATGTACCTGGTATGTTTGTTTTCAATATCATGTTTGTTTGTTTGTAGCACAAGCAAGCTTGGTTGTGAGGAATCAAGCTTTGACAACCGGTCGAGGGGGGGTGCCATCTCTTCGTCTTTTACAGAGACCGGGGTAAATTTTAATGTTAAGACAACCACAATAACAAACAACAAACATAATAATTTACAACCTATCAGTAATACACAGAGCGCCCGCACCTGAACGAACTTAGCAGTTAAGAAAATTGAGCCTCAAGATCCTCGAACATTGAGAACTTGAGAAGAACCGCTTGGTCGGTAACGAACCCCTACACTAAAACCTATGTAGCGGCGATTCGTACCATGACCCTAGGAACTAAGAACCCCAGCCTCGGCCAAAGCTAGAGGTTCTTGATTAAGCGCGGGCGGGCGGGCGCTCTCTGTATTATTATCATCATCATCATCAACAACGCCTAACAACACACACACACTAAGTATCTCAGGCAGACGAGACAGAAAATATATAAAAAACGCCGTTCTTCTTTCTTATTGTTATATTGTCATGGTGTGCTCTTTGTGCTGCATATTTCATTTTGTGCTTGCTTACAGCAGCAACAAAACAACAATAACAATAGAACGATCATCATCAGCCTCTTCATCGGGTGTCCCGAGAAAATATACCACATTAATTATTTTTATTGTTGTTGTTGTTTTCATATGAAGAACCGTTCCGGTCTCCGCCAGTGCCTTCTAATATCCGTACTGGTCCAACCACACAAATAAAAAAACGATAGGCTACATCTGGGTCGGCATGATGAATGGATGAACGAATGTGGTATAAAATAACGTCAATAACCTCCGCGCCGCCCGCCCTAAACTCTCGGTCAGAAGTGAAAAAAAAAGCAGACAACAAAAAGATCTCGACACTCGGATTTGAACCAAGGACCAACAGATGACCACGATAACCACTACAGTCTGTCGCTCTACCGGGCTGAGCTATGTCGAGATGTTCGAACTTGAAATATTTTGTCTTATAAACGTTCACCAGAAACCATTGAAAAATGGAAATGGCAGGACCGTTATGGAAGGTTATACTTCCCGCTCGAATTGATGTTTACTTTCCTATGCCTGCGTCAAACTTAAGACCATACATCTTCTCTCGACAAAAGCACATCTTGATGCGTTTGTGTGAGAGCGTCGTGGCAGGCGGGAAATCATTTTTTTTTTGTAAACGAATCTACTCCAGGGGCCCCCTTGATGTAAGGGGTAAGGAGTAAGGGATCCGCCCACACGCAACACACAGACACACACCTCCGCCTCACCGTTACACTCCGCTTCTCTCCTTCCAACATCGTGCTTGCAACCAGGTTTGAGGTGCGTTGCGTCTTACTTCTAATATGTTTGTAATCTGGTCGCCAACTGGTGTGTGTTCCTGCGAGCCTAATCAGCGCAGGGAGCAGTGTCAACCTATGCATATGCACACATGCATATGAGCTAGCTACGAGCAAGCGTCGTCATTTGTACAAGTTGTGGGACGTATGCATATGCATATGCATACGATCGGGGAAGAGCAACCTATGCGTACTAAGGACTTCCGCGATATCGGGTTTATCGTCTAGGAGCTTGTCGGTGATCCGGTTGATCTGCCGTCCTATTCAGCGTTGCAAACAACATGCCTGCTCTCATTTCGATCCATGTTTGAACTGACTTCCATACTGCTGTGGACTATGGTAGGTTTTCAGATACCTTGCATGACAGGTAAGACTAGGCCTCGGTGCTCTGTTGATGGTGAGTGAACGTTGTTGTGATTGGGCCTCAAGCACACAACAAAGAGAAAAGATAAATAAACTGCTGTGGGTACGTGTCATGTTCCCATAACAGCATTCAGTCGTCCTTTAATTCCGCCGCTCATTAGCCAAGCGGCGAACATGTTTATCTTTTGTTGTCGCAACCCGCATTTGGTCCCCTCCATCATCATACAGCGAATTGTCTTTCGAGTTAGGTTATGGTCCCATTCGTTACTGGAAGAATACAGAAGTTTGTCAACCTGGCTGCATTGGTATATCAGGCTTTGACTTAGCAGTTAAACGGAAGAACGACCTGATGCTTGGTTGCTTGGTGTCTGGGTCGTTTTTATTTGTGGCAAATATGCATACCGTATACGACACAGGATAACACTCCCCTTGGGCCGATTTTCAAAGCTCGATTTATCAACAACAGAAAGAGTCACAGCGCCGAAAACGGCAGCTTTGAAGCCGTATGGTCGAGAGCTCTCCGAAAACGTATCGTTTCGTTCATGCATCTTCTTCGTCGTGGAGTAATCGAGCTTTGAAAATCGGTCCAGGGGGTGTGTTATCTTGTGTCGTGCGGTATAGGTAGCCGCCGCTGACGCCTGAGTTCATTGCTAGTCTATCCTAGACTCTTTTCTATGGATGGAGATGGATTCGTTGTGTCATATTCAGAAAAATGCAAAAAAACATTGCCGCGACCACGTTGTTACCGGGTCCAACCCTTTCTTGGTCCCCCGCCGAATGACAGATGTCGACCCCAGTTCCAGCGACAGGGGGCGCGGCGGCCTCAAACGCGCGCAGACCTTTGCCAACAACTCCGGGAGACAAGATCGTCGAAGGTGAGCGACTGCGAGACGAGGCGCAATCGCTCCTCAAAAGCGATAAACCCAAGACGGCGGCGGTGAAGTTCCGGACTGTGTTCGCATACACGAAAGGGTTGATCCCGCAGACCTCCGAGTTGGCCCTGTATGCTGCCGTGACGGGGCAGCAGACAGTGATCGACCAGAAACAGCAAGGTGAGCGTCACTTGTGGCTCCAGCTACCGAGGGTCCTATGGCATGTACATGCGACCACCTTTGCATCTCCGGCTCAGGGATCTCCCAATATCGGTCAGTCATGGCTTCAGCTACCGAGAGCTCTGTGATTTGTACACGCGGCCACCGTTGAATCTCTGCTCAGGGACCTCCCGATATCCGATCACTGTTCGATTATTCTATATCCTGGCTCCTTCGCAGTCGCTGTTCGAGCTTTGGAGCTATCTTGTAACGAAGGGCTGGCGACGATATACTTTCGGAGCGGACATCACGAGAAAGCTTTAGGGTACAGCGAGAAGGTGTGGGGAGGCATTTGCGTGAAATCCGCATCACCATTCTTGCCGACAGCGTCCGATCTGGAATCGAACGGGCGTACGTCAACGGCGCTTACTTAGGGGGCTGAAACTTGTGTATGTGGGTGTTGCGATCACTGACATCTTCGTAGTGGCCAGTCCCTCAAACTCTGTACCAAGCTGTGGAAGAGTCGTCTGTGTGCTGAAAGTGAGCAAGACCTTACGCAAACTCGCTGGGTACGAAGTACAAGTTCGGTGCGTTGGCTGTCACATCTTTCATGTAGCGATTTATGGAACATGATTGATGTCATTTAGCCACGAACTCGTTCGTATCGCGAAACGAACTCCTTCGGTAGGTTCTGCTGGCGGAGCCGGAGTCAGCAAAGGCACTCTTCCGAGCCGGCCAACTGAACTTGCGACTCAAGAACATCGAAGCGGCCAAGGTACCGAACACACAAAATGTATATGCCTGTGGTGTCTTTTGAGCGTCCCGCTTCAATCTTTTGGCATCGTATGCGTATTTTGTGGGCTGGCTCTATTGTATGGGCTGTCCCAAGACGCGAAAATAGATTTTTTTGAGTGCACAAGGTACTGCTGTAGGGTGCCCTAACATGGTATCGCACCGGGGTCACCGTGTGGTGTAATTTCGCGCAGTCAGTCGACGATGCAACGTGCTGTATGAGTTCGAGCTGGTGTTTCTCGTTCCCCGGTGTGCTGGCCCACACCTTACACATCGTCGATTCTATGTGTTACGTTAGCGTCGGAGCTCTTCGCGTATAAAAAAGACGATGTCTGTACCGACGAGTTTAGCGCCACAAGGCACCGGCCCGGACAACACACGCGAGCGTGTACCGCTCATGTGGTTCCAGCCATGAAACAAAATGACGATCAGTTCAGCATACGCTGCAAGAACGTTCACCACCCTATGCTATGCATACGATGCAAGTAGTTTCGGTCAGCATCTCGCGTTTTCAAGCCATTAACCAGGCTGAAGCTGGGCGTCAGATTGACTGGTGGTGACCCTTGGCGCCCCCCCATCCCTCTGCGACCCTTGCATTATGCGTCCACGACAGCGGTGCTTAACGCGCGCAGCGAAGCACGAGCCTCAGAACGTCAACATCCGTACCGAGCTTCGGAATCTGACTAAATTGGCGCAGGGGGAGGGCGTGGAGGCAGGCACAGAGTCGGCCACCACAGAGGAAGGCAAAGAGTCGGCGGGGGACAAGAGAAAATGCCCTAAATCTAGCGAGGAGGCATGATCCGAACCGGGGTGTTCAATAGGTTGAACATATTGGTGGCACTCAAGGTTTCTATTTAGTGGGCAACGCTTCAGCGATGAACGGCCAGCCAACACATGGCTGTGGGTCAAGGACTTGTGTCAAACCCGGTGTGGTTCGCGAGTCTCTGGTGCCAGTGTAAGTAGTGTGCAGCTTTTGGTTGCGAAAGGGTTTCCTTCTCGACTGTGTGAGGCATGGAAAATAGCGACGACAGCTGCTCTCCAACCGTCTTCACGGCACACCCATGTGTGCCCTCTCTGCTTTGTGTGTCAATCGACTTGTTTGAAGACAAAACTTGCCAACGAAAGACAACCGCGCCTTGTTACGCTGCACCAATCATAGCCGGAAGCTTGTGGTTGCCATGTGTGATGACCAAATACTCTACTATTGGCAGGACGCGGCCCGAGAATCTTCGCCGTCGACTCAAACTGCCGAACAACCCAAAACGCCGCCATGGTTCTATAAAAATACGTAACTACAGCTACACACGTTGTGAGCGCCCAACACACAATATAAAAACAAACGTCACCGAAAACAGCGCCGCGCCTCGTCGGTACAACCAAACGGCGCGATCCGCATGGTAATTGTTGAGAGTGCTGCTAAAACGACCAACAGTGGTGAGCGACAAGACGAAGCACGTTGGGCAACGGGCAGCCCTTTCCGGACAACGTCTACATCGCTCACGCAAAACCAAAGTCGCGCGAATACAAAGCGTTGTTCAAGCAGGATTTGGACCACACCCGTCGGCCGCACGAACCAGACCAACAGGCATCGCCCTGCGTTGTGCCCGCGACAGGTGGAGTGAAAACAACAGTACCACAGAAAACCAACATTGACACGGCTGGGGAAACGCACACCACCATTAAGGCGAGCGGGTCCGCCTAACGCATTTCACGACTGCGGTGGAACACAAGACAACAGAACGCGCAGGTTTGCCTTCCCCTCTCCATGCCCGGCAAGCCTTGCGTTCCCCGCCTAGCGTAAAAGCCCGCCTAGAGCTAAAGGTTGGGGCCAAGCTGCGAAAGCCTAGCTTCCACGGCGTCGAACTGCAAAATTCAAGACCGGGCCAAAAGGTGTTTGATTTGAGAATGAGATAAAAATGGCGGTGCGTCATGAAGGCGGAGTACAGTTTAAAAGTGCTGTTGATGTGTCGCGTTGGGGTTGGCGTTGTGGTGCTTGGTGCATGGTCAATCACCACAGAGCAGGGCAAGCTAAGCCAACCCCGCATTTTGACGATGGTTGTTTGCGTTATACATTGTACGGGCTAACGGCCATGCAAGAAAAACCTAGATGAACACGTTGTGACAGACAGAGCAACTACATCGCCGAGAGAACCACCGCCCAAAACCCACATCATCGTGCTCTTGTCGGGAGAAGTTTCCTCGTTCGGAAGATGCTGCTTCATCCGCCTGGGGTCCGTTTGCCCCGGAGCTCCAGTCGGGCTGTGATACAGCCATCAGCTGTTTGTACGCCACCTGTGGTGCGGCGAAAACATTGTTCATCAAATGCCACGTACAGCAGTAGAAGCATCGGTCGGGTCTGCTCAGTGTGTGCGTGCACAGGGCAAAAATGGCGGGACTCCCCCCCCAAAAGAGCTCCAATGAATTACCACAGCGTGAGTGCATTCGCTCCAACTTTACCAGGAGACAACAGGCGTCGGATTGGTCGATCGGGGCATGAAGTTTACCTCCAAAGCTGACGACAGCATCTTGAGGGTCGACGTGTTTCGAAGGGCCTGCACTTCTAATTCTGAAATGCGGCTATCTCGCTCGTCGCACGCAGCTCGGAGTGCCTGCAGGTTTAAAAAAAAACATGCGCCAAGGTGAGGCCCATCGCAGATGAGACCGTGCAAAACGGGAGGAAAATCAACAATTATCGAAGACCAAAATCGGTTGGGGTGATGACTAGTGAGCGCTTCTGCGTCGCAGCGAAACAAGCACACCAGCAAGCCGGTCCGTGACGATTCGTACCTTTCAATGCCCGTCTTAGGCACAATCGTGAAGCGTAAATTACAAACATCAATCAATGCCACCGAGGTTGGCGTCGTGAGGCGAGTGTCATGTCAACTGCATGCCACAGGTCAACCTGCGTACAAGCACTTGGAATACACTACAGGATGGTAATTCCGGACTAGCAGAGCAAGTGTTGCTCAAAACAATCGCACTCCGTCGCAGGGCATGCAACACTCTCCACAACTACAAAACAAAAATCCTGCACGTGCTCACATCCATCTCTTCCTTCATCTGCTCGAATTTTGCCGCACTTTCGTCCTCTCCCGTCACCCCGCCGACCAGACCAACATCCTGGCCTCTTCGCTCTGCCAAGGCACGCTCCACCTGCGTCCCGCAAACAACAACGCGCGAAATGCATTGTCTCGAGATCTCTGCACGTTCAAAACAAGCGGTTGAAGAACTTTTGCCGGAACGATTAAGCAGTAAACACGACAGTCTACCCGCTGGCTTGGGGAAAGTAGGCCCAAGTACGTGCGCCAACTGGCCTCGTTTCTGGCCCGACAGCCTCGACGCTACAGTGTCTTGTGGGCAACGCTTGCTACAAGCCCGTCTAGGGAAACACGTCTGTTAGCTGACTCCTTCCAAGCAACATACGGCTCGCAAGACCCTTCTCAGACCGGTACTGGTATGGCCGAAGGAGTTCCTGCTTGTGTGACACAAAAAAGTACAGACTCTGCGCTGATTAACATTATCCGAATACTAATTTTCCATCTGGATTGAAAGCCACACATGGTACCGCAGCGCACAACTACAGTAGTCCTGTTTTGCTGCTGTTGCGGCATCGCTCCTATCGACCGTGCGTGAACATACCGCATTTTCCACCATGGCGTCTATTTGCTGCTCCATCATCTCCGTGTCCAACCAGTGTTGTTCATTGCCCTGTGACGTCCCGGATAGGACATGGAGCGAAAGGAGGAAGATATTTCAACGCGGCGTTCTGTTGTTTACTATTCTACAACATACTCCCTGTGTTTGGCGTTCACAGACCACAGCTTTTGGGGTGGTATGTTATTTGTGCGAAAAAGTTTAATTCGCCGCGCTGTCCGCCCGGTACAAGTCCTTGTTATCTATTTCACTTGGCATCCGAACTCGACGCTGCGAGACGAGTCTCCTAGACTACGACAAACAGAAAACTTCGAGTCCCAAACGCGTTCCAAGGGAGGACAAGTTGGCACTGGGGTGGGATGGGTGAACGACATAGCCTGATCCCCGGTCGATAGCGACGACGTCCCTTTCCCTATCCAAAACGTGAATAAAAGCACAGACCCACAAAACTTCTCCGAGAGCGAAAATGTACACAGGTGCCAAATAACCACCAGAAAGTCACCATCACCATCCTCAACAAGAGCCAGGAGCCCCTCCACGTCTGCATTTTCTCACCTTCGGACTAGCGTTGATGACGTTCCCTTCCCTAGCGATGGCCGCTCCCTCTGTCAGCACGGGAAGCGGAGGGCCACTCTGCGGCAAGACGATCTGCAACGAGCAACATTTGGGCGACTCAAAAATCGAGCTAAAACGGTCACATAACCATCAGGTGTACAAATATCACAGATACTCTCCAACTGTGGTGTGGGAGCACAAGCAGGTACGAGAAAAAGGGTGGATGAACTCACGTTATCTTCGCCTGTCTCGTTGACCAGATCCTGTAGCCAGTTAAACGCGTCTTCCGCCGTGGGTCTGCAGGTACACACCAAACGCCAGAACAGCAGTACAGCGCACTCACACACCAGGATATCGCACCAAATTTGAGTGAGAAGGTACGATAGCTTTATCTTCATCAATCAGCCCTACCCAAACCTGAAACAAGTTTCCCGTTTGGTGCCCAGGGGTCAAGTGGCGCACGACATACGCGGAACGGTTTCCGGACGGGGGACTTGACTCGATGTCACGGCGACAACCAGGACCTTGGACAGCCTCAACGCCGTGGCGTGTATGCCACGCCAGCAACCTACAGTTCAAACAACAGCCTCACGGGTGTCGTCGGTAACAACAGCACCACCCCTCTACTAGCACTGCTGCTGTCCCCAACATCTTCGCTCACCTCTCGGCTGGTTCGGCGAAGAGGCATTGCGACTGCAAAAGTGAGAAGGACGAAGGATACCCTGGCAGCAGCTGCCCCTCTATCTCCTCCTCGCTCACGACGAAGAACGTCTGCCAACAGCAGGGGCGCATCGAGACATGGCACGCCAATGTCAGCGCCGGGAGAGAGTTGGGGCAAGCCAGTGGCAAAACAAGTGAAATGCGATCGACACGGAACACACAAGTTTGATGGAGTGTAGAAAACATCTCGCACGCCGGCAAACGCATCAAATCAAATCGCGAGGGGATAGGTTCCACTCGACTCGAAGGGACAATGCTGAAACTGGAGCTTTTCACCTCGGGGTGCATCAACACTAGTGTATAGCTGGTACTGAAAATACGTCCAATGGCTCTTCTTACGTTCGAGTACACAAAAGAGAGAGGTGTCGCCGCCTATCAAGTCACCAACAAATATTGTCTCGCAAAGGGTCGGTCGTCTTGCCCGCCCAGACGTACCTGTGGCGGCCTCTCCGGGAAGGAAGGGCTTGGTTCCTGACCAGTAAGCATCTCTACAAATATCATGCCCAGGCTGAAGACGTCACTCGGTAGCCCGTACTCCTCGGAGAGCAACACCTCGGGAGACATGAACTCCGCCGTTCCCGCGCAAAAGTCCTGCGACAAACGCGGAAACAGCCAGCGATGAGAGTGTGACAACAATGTACAGCAAACCTAAACGTAGGTGGAGTATCGCTCGATGCAGAAATAGTGCCCCAACGCCCAATTGTTCGACAAATGACAGAGAAGGACTGGTGGGAAGAGAGCTCTCGGTCGGGGACGTTGGGAGGGGAGGGGCACTGAAGGCTCCACCAGCTGATGCTCACTGCGCTCAGCGCCTGCAGCGAAGAACTCAGAACTTCATACATGCATGTTGCTTCGTCCAGACGGGTTCGGGTAAAATAGTCGTCGCACCTGCTTGATGGAGCTGTTCTCGTCGATGGCGAAGTTGTAGTCGCACAGCTTCGCTCTCCAGCAGCCGTCGATCAAAACGTTGGGGGTTTTGATATCTCGGTGGATAATACCGTGTTGGTGCAGGTATTGCAGCCCATCCGTCATGTCTGACGCAATTCGAACCTTCGCGACCGGAAAACGAGCAGCGGTACAGGCATAGCAGTACTTGGCTATGTGGTGCCCTCACTGCGTATCATAACTAGCCACGAAGGTAAACGTCATTTACCATGTTCCTCACCCCCTAGGTCCTTCACCAAACAACCATCTAGAGGACATACGAGGCCTATGATGCACAATATGAACGGGTGACGAGAGAAAAGACAAGCCACAAACAGACTGCTCACATCAGACGGTGAGTTCGAGTACCCCCAAGCCGAGCATCCATGCCTCAGGGACGAAACCACTAGGGCCCTTCCGCTTCCCGTAGAACCAAGTCACCCACGACACATGAATACAATACTGATTTCTGAGCGAGCAAGTACCTTGAGTGGCCAGTCGATGTTAAGTTTCAACGCCTCTCGCAACGCCCCGTTGGTGCACAATTCCATCGCCACCATCACCTGCACAGAAAGAAGCAAACAAACTCGTGAAAAAAAAAATTGCGGCATCCAGCCGGCCAAAGACAACCAATCCTCTCAAGACAAGCGATCGTTCATCGAAGTAGGAAACAAATCTAGTCTGACACGCAGGAAAAAGCTAAACATCGCGTGTCGGGAGCTTGTTGACAAAAGATCTACAACCTCTGCAACCGACCTAAAACCAGCCCCTGCTCCTCACCCTTTCCGTAATGCCATCATGTACACTGCTGCTTGAGGTCAACCTTGGCGATTATGCATATCCCGTCCGCTACAGGCCAGCACAAGAAAGCATGATTGCTCTTGATTGGTCTCTCACCGTGTCAGAACCTCTCTCCACGGCCATAGCCGTTCCGATGAACTCAACGAGGTGCGAGTGCTTGTGATTTCTTAGCATCGCAAGCTCCCCCAGCAGGTTGGCTTGCTCTTCCTGCGTTTATGGCGGTTTCGCACCAACCACAGCCACCACCATGAAACACGTACGGTAGATAGCATGATTAAAATAAGCCTCATACATAGTTGTCTTGTACGAGTGGGACGTATTCTTGTTAACTTGAGATCGGCTCACCGGCTGCTTGCACTTACGGCCGCACGAAAGACAAGACTCATCATGCAGCTAGAAACGCCCCAACATACTGACAATCCTGTGCTGGATAACTACATGGTTTGATATTCAGCTCGGCGTTATCGGGAACCTGGAGCTCGAGCGGTCTCTCCCAACAAGCAGCTCAATGCCGACTGGCTGACGGGCTGACGGGCGGAGGTCCAATCTACCGTCTTTGCTGCCGCGCAAACCTGGCCAGAAATCGCTACAAGAAAATCCTACGCCGAGTGACCGGGAGACAATCCCTAACCTTTGACGCTAGAATCCCCCAAAATGCCCGCCCGCAACTTGATGTTGTTCGAAGATATTGGGCAGCTCTGCCAAACAAACACCCTGTATCTGTACCGCCCAGCGTTTGCCAACATACCTCGTCCTCGGGTACTTGTTGAATCTTTACTGCCACGCTCCTCGCCTCCTCCTCCTCTTCCTGTGCAGCATCTCGTTCTCCTTTGGCGTGTTCCACGCTCTCTTGAGCAGCGTCATGGAAAATTTCCTCCTCGCCCTCCGTCGCCTCCGTTACAAGTGTGTCCCTCTCCACCTCTCCCTCTATGTTGGTAGCCGCGCCACCTTCTGCTTCCCTGGGTGCAGCCGCTGCTTCGAATGGAAAGCGTACAAAGCACAAAGCAAGGCGGCGTGTGGACCTCCAGCAACCGTCCTTCATGCGCCATGCGTCACGAGACGGCTACGATACACGAGCAGTGGAATTTGCGACGACTCCGTCTATATTGAACGTTGAGCTTGGGATATGGGATGGGCACAGCGTGCACACCACAACATGTGGGGAAAGTGATAGCAAGGATCAACCGCATCAACTTTACATAACACACAAACAACTTCAAACGATATAATCCAGCTATGCACCAGGAAGAGTCAAGCTACGCGATTTCCCGCCTAGCAATAGTGGTGGGTCCACAGGGAGCATTTACACGGAAGGACGTCGGAATTGGGCATGGCTCTGGTTACCAGACCCTGCATCGACTCGCTGATCAAACGTAACTCCCACAGCAATTCAACCCCGCGACAGGGAGCATAGGCGAGCAAGGCTCAATCTAGTCACCAGCCTGGCTAGATAGAACGCCTCTTGCACGGCGTTCCGTTATGTGACAGACACGCGGCGGCCACATCAATACATAGTGGACGGCAAAAAGCATTTTTATCGTAGAACACTGGTACCTGCTTGTTCTTCATCCTCATCCTCAACACTTGCATCCCTCGGCGACGGATGTAGCTTTCCTTCGTGAACCACGCCGTAAGCTCCTCGTGCGATTTCCCTCCCGATAATCAGGGATCGCACGTCAATCCCGAAGAAGCCGTCTTCTTCGAACCCCAGATCCATGTGCGGCAGGCGTAACCGCGCCATCTCCAAGGAGGTCTCTGTGAACGGTCCGACGGCCTTGTCCTCCTCATCCTCATCCCCTCTCTCAACCGGACCGTCGTCTTCCCCTTCTGTCAAATTCACGCCCTCCTCCGCCGTGCTTGCTATGCTCGGGTTCTCAGACAGCCCTATGTTTCGGTCAGCCCCCATGCTTGTTCCCCCGCTGCTGAACCTGTTGTGTTCAGGCTTTCGAGCCAAATGCAAGCCCCCAGTCGGGCCGAGAGTCATGCTCACCCTGTGACGCGGCGAGCGGGACCGTGAGCGTGCCCTCGAGAACGGGCCTCGGAGAACCGGCGGTGAGGGAGCGGCGGCGGCAGCAGTCCACGATTGCGTCCGTAGTCTGCGACGGCAAGGCGTGGCAGGAGGGGAAAAATTCAAAATTCGTTCAATATGGTGGCTACATACGCAGCTACAGACGGCAAGGCTGGTGATGTTGTGTAGCGGGACGCCCAGGATACAACGTCTTTGACATTCAACAGGTGCTCAAAAGCGCGATGTGCTACAGGGCCGGCCAGGTGTGTGACCTGAGCCCCGCCAATGAACCAATTCTGACATCCCTAAACGATCCCATGTCTATCATACGACGGCGCACCTTCCTTCCGTAGGCATACCGGGGGACATGCTCCCGCGTCTGTACTCTGAGGACGGGCTGACATTGCCCATCGGGGGCGGACCAGCCCCGAAGCCGGTGCCGGTGTCGACAACAACATCGCTTAATGGTACCGCTCCACTCGCGGGAACCTGCCCCTGCCCGGTTGGCAGGACCGAAGAGCTGTTCTTATGTCCATCCGTGCCAGCATCGTTGTCGCCAGCGTCCTCCGCATCTGTGTCGTCCCGTCCTTCCGGGGCTTGTTTATCGCTTTCAACAGCTGCGACACTATCCTCGGCGATAGGACTAGCCAGCCGCCCCGGCGACGTTGATATGGGAAGGGAAGTCGCCGCCTGGTCTTCACCGAGCTGTAATCATGTAGGCGCGCGGGCACAACCAACGGCAGAATTGGATTCACAATGGTAACGCCAAGCGGCAACGCAGACATCCACGAAAAGGCAGGGAATTTGCCGCATCACCGCTGTGGGAAGATCACACACAAACCAAGAAAACCGCATACGCTTTGTGTGTGCTGGTGTTTCTTGAACTAGCACGACCGCGCTAACCGACCGACCAACAATATGCCAGCCATACAGCGGGATACAAAGAGCCAATAAGCCTCCTAGTCAGAGGGCACCCTCGACAGGAGGCCTACGGAGGAGGTTGGCAGACAGGTTTGTGTGCCTTGTGTGTGTCGTCACATTTGTTCTGGACGTCAGAGTCTGTGCACCTTTAGCAATGTTGCTGGACGCATCAGCCGGGTTCACGCAGGAGGAAGGCCACACACGACGGTATTTTTGAACGCCTGTTTCTTCTCGTCCGGGAGCCAACACGCGCGCAAATCAACGGTTCTCGCACGTCACAAGCAATATTTGCACACCAACAGGCCGTCGCCTGCCGATCTTGAGCACCCCCCCCCCCCCCCCTTGCCAAACCTCACCAGAAAGCGCGAAAATCAACTCAAACCAACGGCGCCCCCCGTAACCCTACTTGTAAGCCATCGGCACACACCCCAACTCCATCGTCACCTCCTCCATCCAAGCATCCGGGTGCGGCTGCTCATAACGGATGCCATGCCGCCCCTTATACGCGTGCCCACCGGCGCCCACGCCCTGCTCCCTCATGGCCCCTCCGAGAGTCATCCGACGCGTCGGCGAGCGGGGCGTCAGACCTTTGGGCTCCTTGTCGCGTCGCCTTCCACGGGCAAGTCCACCGAGCGACATTCTGGCCCAGTTGCGGTTGTGGCCCGGTCCGCCTCGCCTCGGCAACGAGAGTCTCGCACCGGCCCCGTTAACGCGGTCCGGTGTTGACGCACTGTTGTTGTCCATTCGGCAAGCACAGAGCAGCCACAACCCCGGTGCGTTAGAAACGTCACGCGGCGGGAGGGACGACACGGCCGGGAGAGAACCAAGAGAAGGGATTGTTATCACATTAGCTTAGGTTGTACACGGTGACCTAGATTACCTCTATTTAGGTACACCTCGGACGAATGTTTTTCCTGACGGGGTACGCTGGCGAGTCGTTCCGTCACGTCGCGTACGGTACGGCTCCTGTGCAGTGATACAAGTACTCCTCTGGTGTCGCTGTTCAGCGTTAGGAAGGCAGTAGTGGAATCTCTGCCCTGCACCTCTCCATCATTTGGCACAAGCGACGCCTGGTGCCGCCTTCGTACGTTTGATCCACGGAATAGTTACGGGCCTGTCGACTGTCGAACACAAATAATTCTACTCGCATGTTTAATTTTTTCTTGAAGTATCTACTTGCACCATTTTGTAACTACGGCAGGGTCACTACTGTGCACACCGATGTGAACGTGACGGCGAACACATGGGTATGGCATGACCAGATTGGTACAGCATATCCGTACGGATCCATCAGACCATCAGAAAGCCAGTGTCATCCGAGGCAGGTATACAACATACCAGGGTACACCTCGGTACTAGTTTTTTAGGCGGATTCAGGCGCGGCGGTACTTCAATGTGGCGGTACTTTTTTGGATGTAGGCGGCATTTCGTTTTCCGGCGGTACCGCCTTTGGCGGTTCCCGGTACTGCCAATTATGGCGGTACTTTTTCGGCGGTTCCCGGTACTTCGTTTTTTGGCGGTACTTCTTCGGCGATACTGCAATATGGCGGTACTTTTTCGGCGGTAGGCGGTATTTCGTTTCTCGGCGGTACCACCTGCTGCGGTTCCCGGTACCACCGAATGTGGCGGTAATTACCGCCAGTACCGGGACCGCCCATCACGGCAGGAAAAAAACGGCGGGAATTTTACCGAGGTGTACCCTGAAAAAAAAAATAATAATACGAAAAAAATTATAAAAAATGTAAAAATATGACGAAAGATACAAAAGAAAAAGAAAAAAGATCAACGAAGATGCAGGCCAGCTGGGCTCGAACCACTGGTCTACGTGGAATGTCGCCCGTCATACACCCATCTAGCCTATTTCTCTGCCAGGTGCGACACCCTCACACGCTCGTGCGACATGGCGGTACTTTTACGGCGGTACTGTAGTAAGGCGGTACTTCTACGGCGGTACTGTAGTATGGCCGTACTATTTTGGCGGTACTGCAGTACAGCGGTACGGTTACGGCGGTACTGCAGTACGGCGGTACTTTTTCGGCGGTACTGCAATATGGCGGTTCTTTTTAGGCGGTTCCCGGTACTTCGTTTTTTGGCGGTACTTCTTCGGCGGTACTGCAATATGGAGGTACTTTTCGGCGGTAGGCGGTATTTCGTTTTTCGGCGGTACCGCCTTCGGCGGTTCCCGGTACCACCGAATGTGGCGGCAATTACCGCCAGCACCGGGACCGCCCACCACGGCGGGAAAAAAACGGCGGGAATTTTCCCGAGGTGTACCCTGCCAACATACAACGGCGAGCCATGGTCCCAAGAGACACGCACAGCGTTTAGTTTAGGCTAAATACGGGTGCTCCCGGCCGAAAAATAAGAACGCTCGCTGTTGAACTGAGGGGCTGAACGAAATGTGCACAAACAAGTCGGATTACAACGTGCTCTTTTTCAGAATATTTGTTTCTGGTCACATCGTCTCCAAATACAAAAAAAAGCAACACGTCGGCGGCAGTTACTGCTGTACACTGCTGAAAAAGATTGAGTCAAGTACTGAGTACCAGGTTACTTTCAGAGATGCGTACCGCTGTACAGCAGGTAGAATACACCTCAACATCAAAAGCCACCCTCTGGTTGCACATACTGCTGTATCCAGGACACGAAAGATCTTCACGACGCTCAGTTGCTCCACGCGCTAAGAGAGAGATGTTTGTGGTGTGTCGCGGGCTTTGGCCTGATTGCTGGGGTTTGGCGGCCTACTACTGCTGTAGACGGCATGTCGGTCGGTGTCCTTCACGGCTTAAGCTGCTGTGCATCCAGCAGCAGCAGCAGGAGTAGCACTTGCCTCGTTTCGTCGTCCCCATCCATGTCTCTCAGCAAGCTCTGCAAAGGAAGATCCGTGTTCCGTATGCCACAAGCCGACCACACTGTTGTAGAGGAGAGAAGGTAGAGCACAAAGCAATGGAACTTCTTTACCTAGTGCTATGAATGCACGGCAGACGCACATGCGTCCAAGGTGTATCAGTCACAGGTCTCGTTGGGCTGTAGGTTGCATCCAATTTGAAAAAAATTGAGCTGGGAGTTTGATGTCAAAATGTAACATCTCGGAACGCGTAACACCGGGCTGTTCACAAGTAGGTGCCTCTGTGAGTACGATCGCTGCAGAGAAAGAGATCCCCCCGACACAGCATCTGGCTACGTACATGTCTCGCTTTCTACCCTCGCGCCCGTACCGTTCCTGGTGTGCGGGTATGTAGACCGTCCACGGGCTTCAGAGTAGAAGGAGGGTGAGGACCCCCCTTGAACTCCAACACGGGTTTTGAAATGCGGTTGTTGTACAAACACCATTGCACGCGGACGGCTACATAGGTGTGCTACAGACGGCAAGATGAACCAACAACACATCGACTCCATCACAAGACACCGCTCGTATGAAGGAGCATGATAGTCACCAGTGGGCGGAGAAATGAAATCCGCCCCACCGCAACTCTGCTGCAAGACGTCCGCCGGTACCCGATACCCACCTCTGAACCTTTGCGCACACAGGACTCGTGAGACTAAAATCCGTGGTACATACCAACCGAATTTCACCAGACACCGCTGTCTTCGCTCTCAACAACACAGAGGGTTGCCTCCACAGAACAAACCAACAACACTGTCAACGATTTTGCAGACATTGCCACTCCCATGTGGCAGTTTCTCTGCATGTACAGCTTCCGTCCTCAACAAGACCGAACACGCGAATAGCCGCGGGGCGTCCGTGTGTGACGCCTCACAATCAAGTAATCTCAAGCGATGCTACTTACGTCTCTCCCGCGTCGGCTTGTCTCACATTCAGGCACAACGCGTGGAGCACTCCCAGAGCCCCAAGTCCCGATATTCGCCAGTTTCGCTAGCAGGAATCCTCCTCCCCTTCCTCTTTCCTCGAGACCATATGATATGTTCGTGTGGGCTTGCTGCCTACGGGTCGCACACACACGGACGACGAGGACAGGACAGAATCAAATTTCCGAGCGGGACTCCGCAGCCACGATTTGTTTTCAAGGGGGGGGTGAAAAAGCCGCGCGCGTCCCCGCGAACAACAACTTCAGCTCATCAGCTGCCGCTGCTGTCTGCATTTTTCACACCCCGAATGTGCCTGCTCAGGAGTTGGGGTACGATCACGTAGGCGGCCTAGGGATGGCGGTGAGTGTGTGGATCAGTTGTTTCACATCCGTTGCTTCTCGATCGTTGGTGGAGAGCGCAACCACGAAGATCGAAGATCCAGACAGGATCCAGATGATGATGCAAAGATGACACGCTTGACCAATAACGAGCCGCCGACTGCTGCAGGGGTGCGACTGCTGTACACGCGTGGCACGCAGCCCTGGTATCTGCCAACATATTTAGTAAAGATTCAAACAATTGGTTCATAGCATCACACACAGAAGGATAGCACGGGTTACTTCTGGTACGTCTATTCATGTACTCTACTGTAAAATAAAAATAATCCTAACCACCTGGTAGTCTGTTGCGGCGAGACTTGATGGTGCGATTTTTCGAGTACACACACATGAGACCCCACAGCTGTGTGGTGGATCCAAAGCGCCGCGTTTTATTATACCATGGTGTGGTCGAGCTACATAATTTTAGCGTCCCTCATTACCAATGTCAGAGCTACATGTATGTAGATCGTGACCAACAAGAGGTACAGCACATCGAGCAACCCAGAATCCTCGGTACCGTATCTATCTATTTGTATAGAGGGAAGTGTTGGCGCCAGCATTTACCAGAAACGTCAGTTTCCGGTGAAGCTCACCCTCATTAGAAATCATTTCTCAATCACAGAGAGACCGCCCGTTCGAGATAGTACCCCAGTCGAAGGGGTGTGTTCACGTTTTTATATTGTGAGTGGCGAGAAAAAGCTGGAGTCTGTAGATATAGACTATGCCTTCGTTGAAGGATCGATCGGTGATTGATGACCCCAACCTCATACTTGAAGTTTGCATTAGGGCCGAAACCAGCCAAAATATGTAGTATTTGAATTCTTCAAACGAGTTTTCTTATATCGGACATGCCGGGTTCTGCTGATTCTGTACACTTGTTATCTGTAGATATCAAGACCTTTTCTAACACCCGATTTCTCTCGCGCTGGTCTCCAGGGTGCTGTGCCTCCCCTCCCTACGAGTGAGTGAGGATAGACACCCAAAAGACGAGCTATTAATACCACCGCACGACATAACACAATATAGAGACAACAGGACACCAACCACCCGGCGTCAAGCCGGGCAGCTCCATCATTGACACAACCCCTATGCTACCCCTCGTGTTCTTACTACCGTATCTTTGGGGGCATCCACCTCCTTCATCCATCTTCCAAGTATTTTTATCCACAAATATTCGCGGGTTTCCTCAACGGGGATGGAGGCCATAGCTACACACCGTTTAGCCTGTACTGCTATGTTCACCACCGTTGACATGACTGCCAAACAACCAGAGGGGCAAGCTGCTGCTCTGCTTGTTTTCAAGACCCCACCTGCACGACTGTCGCGGACTTGCATTGTCCCTCAGTTCACGGGGGCCGTAACGCCCCGAACGTTAACACTGATTTGTGGCAGGATCCACGGGAGTTCTCTGACGATGGCTCGGACGACTCTGGGTTTGAGGAGAGCGTGGGCTCAGCCGAACGCAACAAAGAACAGCACCTGCAGAATGATAAGTACGACTTGGCCCTGGAGGTGAGCCCAGCAAGTCAAGGCCTTCGTTGTAGGTCCAGTGCCAGGAACTGGAACATACGCACGCAGAAGCGTATTATAGTCGCAAACTCACGTAGGCAATCACTCGATGTGATAATGTTTGATCCCTGCTGCTGTGTCATGGAGGATTCTCTGAGTACTGGGAGCGGGTGCCGTTCCTCTAGAGCCTCTGGCTGGCTGCGCACGTCATGCGAAAGGTTGCGCGTGGTCCACCGCTTCAGTCCCTGCAAGGTGGATAGGTTCTGTTGTTGTTGTTGATGCCGTTTTCGTCCTATCCACTCTGGGCGCCAGTCTACCTCCTTCGGTACATGCTTGACGCACCAGCCGGGGTCACAGGGAGGCCAAACACTGGAGTATTTTTCTTCACCTTCCGCCTACTGTGCCCACGTTCAAACCCCGAAAAGCGTTCAGCGGTCCCTTCCCCATCTTAGTGTTTGCTCACGAACACTGCGATTTCCACCTCTACGTTGCGAATTGTCGAATATTTCAATCCAGAGGAATTCGAAGCCGCAATCGACAGAGTCAGACGGTTGCGAGGCTACCAACTGCACCTCCGCACACAGCGATCACTTGCGAATACTCGCCTCATTTGTTGTCGATTTCGTTTTGCTCTTCAAAGGTGAGCGCAAGCGAAGCAGACGCACTTGGCGATGGAAGTCCTGGGGAGGAGAAGGGTGAACGTGCATCCGGCAGTGATTCTCCAGATGCAAGGGTGAGTCTGGCCTCAGTACATAGCCGAAGGTCTCTTACTCGTTGCACGTGCATGCCCCGCTCCCAATCGTACCCGATGACATTGCCACGTATGCTATAGGGGATCGCCGATAGGTTCTCTGCGTGTTGTGCTGTGCTGAGGCTGGTGCTTTCAGTGGCGTTTCGATGTGCATAGTTCGAAGCGTGCAAGTAGGAAGGTCGCCTTGTGGTTTTATATGGGCACTATCTGCCTAGTTTTACGATGCCCGTACACTATTACAAGAACGCATGCTCCCTAAGCCGCGTCTGCCCTGCCTGACGAATCTATCAAGGCCTCCCTCCGGAGTGGGGTTAAAGAGAGCACCGCGGCAAGGAGTGATGCAAGAAGATGCAAATGCAGGCAGAGAAAAAACTGATATTGGATGCATGTATCGATAGACTACTTCCAAAAGGGGTTAGCGGCATTTTTGGGAGCTCGGCGAGCTTTTCGTTCGATATGGAGATCCTTCTGCAGGAATTTGGCTTCAAGAAAAACCCGCGAACAACTTGTTGTTTCGCCCACATTCAGATCTCTTGAGGGCGTCCGACCCTCGCATCTAGAGTTCACCCATCTGAGTGCCTCTACACCTACGACTCGCTACACCCAGAGAGTTAACTACCAGTGTCCTGATGATCTTACGTAGAATCGGCCAGCCGTGGTGTCAAATCGCCTTTACCTCATGCTTAAAGGTTGACAAAAAAAAAGCGTTGTCTATCTATTTTCTGTATTTTTCTGCTTGAAACCCCGCATGCCGCGCGCATCTGTAAGTGTGTGTAGTATACATGTGTATGCCGCGATGCCAACGTCAGTTTCAACCTGAGGCTCGGCGGTCTGCACGGTCTGCATTGCTCTGCACCTCTGCTGACACCGCCACGACATGACTCGACTGCTGGAAACTACATGTTTCTGCTTACTGGTTGCAGCTGCTGCAGCTATTCACATACAATGCGGACGTGTGTACTTGCTCGTTGGTTGGTATGGTGTGTGACACTGACGTTACGTACATCGTCTTACTGCCTAAAGAACTCTTGAGATTCTGGGGAAGGATTTACAAATCTGTACCTGTAGTCTTTCTGCACCACGTCAGTTCTATTTTCATACAGAACCGTCGTTCTATGCTCAGTTGAACGAATTTGAGCAGATGCTGTGGTGGGGGATGGATCGTGGGTGCTTGGTAACTACCACTCACAGCGTTTGTCTGTACCTCACGAACCGTGAGAGCCAAGGAGGTATCTAACCCACAATGAGCGCACAGCCAAGACCCGAGCAGTACAACGTCAGCAGCAGCAGCAGCAGCAACGGCAGACCGTGAACTCGAAAAGAGCGAAGAGTAGTATTTAGTAGAGACCACAAGGTGTTTGTTGAAATGGAATGGAATGAGAGCGACAGATACGTGGAGACCAGCACCTGCACCAGCACCAGCTGTTATTGGAGCCAGAACGTCCCACCTCTCAGATTGATGATGATAGCCGCTTTACTCAGCGGTTTAGACGTTTAGACTACTTCTTCTCGTGTGGAGAGGATGCGCACGCGCGTGGGCGCGTGCCCACCCAAACACGGAACACCGGCCACTGTTGTTCTATAAAGAAAAGCGCGATCTCTGCACTTTTCAGTGTTGTGTTATTTGATTTTACGGGGTTCGACCGGGTCTGTCTGTTTTTCAGACTGCTGTACCTGATCAACGTGTTCTTCGCTGTTCTACGTGCTACCGTGGCGGAAAGAATGTTACAGCGGCTGCAGAAAACATGAAAGACTCTCAAAGTCGAACAGCTTCCTGAAAACAGAACGTGAAAGAACACCCGAACAGTCCCCACCGCTAACGATCAGCCAACACAAACGTATAACGGCTCTTATAGATCGGTGCGGCAGCAGATCGCCTGGGCCTGGGGAGTAGCACCGATGCTCCCTCCCGGGAGGCAGCCAGAGGAAGGGGATCCAGTTCTGCACAAGAAGTGAGTGATGACGGACATGTACGGGAACAAAGGAGAGCTGTTCACTGTAGAGCATGCAAGCAGTTTCGGTACAACGCGTGCGGGCTGCAGTCGTCGGACAATCGAACAAGCATGCGAAAAAATGGGTAGAATAGAATGATTCTACCAGAACCGAAGCCAACCAGTTGCGAACATGGGCAACAAGAGTGCTTACGGTTCTGCCCTGAAAATATTTGCTCTTTGATTACCTGAGGAAAACATGATTCTCACGGGCGCTACCCGAGCGCTTGCGTCCGGCGGGTGGTGCTTCTCCCCGCACGGGTGCTACTCCTCGCTTCCCCCGGGCATATCAACACGCACCGTCGTTCTAACATCACCCACCAGCGCGTCGGACCCGAAAATATTGCGGCGTGGTTTCCGGCAACAGAGTGCAAAGTGTGTGTCTTCAAAATTTATGTTCGTCAGATGTCGTTTCTATCGTGGCTGTGGAGTTACAGTCGTTTTTTTTTTAATGGGGGACGTTAGCAGTTGTCCCCTCCCAATGCAACCCGGTAACCGTGCCGCTTTTGGTTTGTTCCCGCTCTTTCTGACTTTAGTGCGCGGCCGGTATGCGTTTTTGTTATGCTTGTGTTCTCCCAGACGGGCCAGGACGTGAAGAATGACCAGTTTGACGCGGCCTACGATCTTAGCAGCGCTGACGAAGGTTGGTGGACCAAACGACTCGCTCCTCTACACGGTTTGACATCGTACTTCACAGTTGATTAATAGTTCACTTGCTTCACTACCAAAGGCCTGCCGTCGAGCCATACGGCTGGCTTCATGCAGAGTCAGGACAACAGCAGAAATAATACCGTACCTCTTGCTTCTACCACTGAAAATGTGTACCAGACGCTGCCGAGGAATGCACGTTTACTTCACGCGCAAACCGAGATATTTTCGAGATTTCTGACATTGGGATTCTTGAATTTTGGGGTCGATCTCAGAGTCAAGCGTGGATACGAGGGAGGCGGCGGATCTGGCTACGACGCAGAGACGCACGATAGGTGCTCCGCCCGCCTCGGAGCGTCGACCCTCACTAACGGCTACACCGGTAAGCGATCGGCAAGTCTATCGTCAGGAGAGAAGAGAAGACCGTTCGCTCTTTCACCGCAGACCTGGCTATGGGTTGTTCTTGTCAGAGACGATTGGACGATGAGCCCTCAAGGCCCCTGAAATACCGGGAAATTGTTCCGAAAGTACTCTCCACCAACGCACATGGAAGTTTCGTTTGTGGGTAACGACTTACGGAGGGCTCGTGGCCTATCCATAGGACTTTTTACCATCTTGATTTCGACCGGGCGACCACGTGTTGTCGCGCAGTCGCCCGTGCCATCGGGGACAGTGGCATCCGCGGTGGCTGGCCTATCGTCGTCGACCATGCACCCGGGCGGGGGTGGGAGCGATGGGGGCAGCGACGACAGCGAAAGCGGGTCTGAATCATCAAGCAACGGAGACGAGCGAAGCAACCCTATCAAGATCGAAGGGTGAGAACACAGCCTTGGGCGCGTGCGTGCGAAAGTTGGCGATCGTTGCAGCTGCTCAGCAAGGGTAATTTTAAAGCCGCGTGTTGTAACGTCCTGGGCTTCGGGTGTGAAGGACAGTTCCGCATGAAATGAATCTTAGCTTCTGAGGTACGCAACACCATCCCGAAAGTACTGAGCCCACGTATTGTTGAGCAGTTTAGCAGTCGTCCTTCCGTAGCAGGCTCTGACTGGGGGAAAGCGTTCCTGGAACAACAGCACAATCTGTCAACCTCATTCCCTAGCTTTGTGTAGCGCGAGACCGAACAGTCTGCCTTGTCACCACCACGGAATAAGTTCATCTGTAGACCTACGGGGGTGAAAGTCGACCCAACGACCGCGTTGCATCGTCAATCGCAGGGCGTATGATCCCGCGGACTACGCCCACCTCAATGTGTCGGCGGAGATCAAGGACCTCTTCCAGTACATCGGGCGCTACAAGGCCCATGAGGTGGACCTCGACACCTCCCTTCGATGCTTCGTCCCTGACTTTATCCCCGCTGTGGGAGACATGGATGCATTCCTCAAAGTCCCTCGTCCGGACCAAAACCCGGACGAACTTGGTTTCAAGGCAAGTAGGGAGGCCAAAGTTCGGGGGTTGTGTCGAGTCTTCAAATTCCCTCACGTCTCCTTGCGTTCTTTGCAATGCTTGTATCACCAACCACTGCTGTCACGTACAATTGCCGTTTACAACAAGGGAAATTGCAGCAAATGTAGTTTAGTGGTTGGCGTGCTGCCCAGGTTCTTGGCGCCAATCTTGAGTGTCTATGACAAGGGGCTTACTGGATGCTGTACGTATCACTTTTTGAGTTTTCCTCGAGAGCACTCGTTGGCTTCGCGTGAATCAATCCCCGTCTGTTGAATGTGGTCGATCCTCGTCTCTCATGAATTAACTCTTCCAGGTTCTGGACGAGCCAGCAGCGAACCAAAGCGACGCGACCGTGCTTGAGCTGCAGCTGAGGGCGATTTCAAAGAAACAGTATGGAGATGTTGCCGTCAGGTACGTGAAAAGCTTGTGCTACTGTTACATGAGAAAGAGAAACCGAAACACGAAAGTGCGCAGGTCCGAGTAGGCGCAGTTGAGTCGACGCCTGGAATGTAGTAGCACTTGGTGGTACGCAGGAGACACGGAGGGATTCTCAAGAATGTGTGCAGAATCCCTCTTGAGCTGCGCACGCTGTGCTATTCGGGGGGTACCCCGGACATTGATTTTGGGGTGTCGTGTGTCTGCCAAATATTATTGGGTACACTCCCATACGGTTTTTAGTCCCAAGTCAAGCTCGACGACGGCTGGGATACGTCCTATCGAAATGGCGTGCTAGTGGACAGCTGACATGGCGTCAATGACAGTGGCTCGCGAGAAACGGGTCCCAGTCGGCTTGCTACTCTCCCTAAAGATGCATGGAAAAGTTGACGTGCACAAGAATACCTAATATTATTTCGGGTTTTCGCTGATGGGCCCGAGCTTGACCAAACGCTGTCATCCGCAACGCCAGATCGATCGAAAACGCCCACAAGAACCCTGCGGAGATCGACAAGTGGATTCAGAGCATCAACGACTTGCATCGCACCAAGCCACCGCCACAGGTGACGGGGCGGGTTGATTGATTGATTGCTTGATTGATTAATAAGCTTCTGAGGTGCGTAAAAGAGCTAGGAGGTGTTCTCTTGTTGCTGTTGGCCGATCATCTAGACCCAGCGAAATCTGTGTATGACAACTCTATTCATCGCGGTACACGACCACTCTACCTTGGCTGTATCAATCGCCTATCTTGGGCTGACGTTTTCCCCGCAGGTGAACTACAAGAAGAACATGCCGGACATTGAGCTATTGATGGAGGCGTGGCCACCTGAATTCGAGGAGATTGTTGGCAACGTGAATTTGCTGACACCAGAGCTAGATATGCCCCTGGAGGACTACGCACGCATGGTGGGTGGAATACGACGAATCCCTTGCGAGTTCTCATCCAGACTGCGCACTGATGCCTATAACTGAGAAAAGTCTATCTTGGGCTACGCAAACACCGCCCCTTTATCAGATGGGGTATGAACGTTGTGGGCTGATCCAACGTAGGAACAAGGTCACCAATCGATAGAGAGGACAGAGGGATGGGCAGGTACGTATCAGGGTTTGAGAAAGTTACACCCAGCCAGGTGCATGCCGTCGGTACGTCCGCCCTGGAAGAAAAGTAATTCGAAGAGCCTTTCTAGAGCCGTGCAGCGTCGGACAGATCAGATGGCAGAGTAGGTTGTGGACTTTTGTCTAGGAAATAAAGTCTTTGGATCCTGGGGTTCTCACCCGGAGCAATGCTGTTAACTTATGGTGCCAAGTTGGATTTCAATCGCATCTTGAAAACTCGTTGGATAGTTGAGTCATTACCCCCGGTGGGTGCGTACTTCCAATAGTCTTTAGAGGAAACCCTTGACCAGGCTGACGCATGTTCCTTCCTCCATTGCCAGGTGTGCGCGGTGATGGATATCCCGGTGTACGACAACATTATCGAGAGCCTGCACATTCTCTTCACAACCTTCATGGAGTTCAAGAGCAACGCGCACTTTATGCAACTGGGTGCTGCTGGCGGGGGTGCATCGAATTTCGACTATAAATAGATTGGCTGAGCGTCCAAGGAAGATTACCGCCGAGTCGAAAACTACTCCAACGTGGGCGAGGACAGCGAGCGTCTGTCTCTGATCTTTCAGCCGGAATCCGCAATCATATCTATTACTCTTTGCCGCTTGGCTTGTGGTTGCCTTTTGGAAGCGGCTCCTTTCGGGAGTGGGACGCGTATCGGGCGCGGTCGTCTGTCTGACAGCCTATTCGCACGCATTTCATTCACCTAGTCTACAGCCATACCGTTTCCCTACACACTGCACACATGATTTTTCTGAGTTAATTTTCTTTCTTTGAGATCTTTATCGAAGTGTGTATGTACCCTTTGGGGTAGTTGTCCTTTGACTACCGAATATGTCTGCGTCAGCTGGAGCGGGAAATTTATGGGACCAGAATTGCTGGAACGGTTGTAAATGTGGAGGAAAGCAACGAGAGAATGATTTTTTGGCCAACGGGCTCAGCTATACAGAGCCCGGCTTCATGTTCGTGGCGGTAAAGTACATGCTGTGCCGTACGTCAAACTCTCTGCTTTGGCCCCAGGCTTTTCGGCCAAAGGTTCCCCTACTACTGCTTTACTGACTCTTGCTTCATTCGCGTTTTTGGCTGATTTTCTTCTGGACGCTTGGTTACATGCGGCGGACACTCCTCCTCCGGAGCACGACGTAGTTTCGCAAGAAAACATTTGGTATGTTCTTGATGTTCGCGGTCCTACGATTATTGTTGACATGGATGTGTTTCATTGCATGCGTCCAATCAATACGTGTATTGTAGTACATATATTAGTTATAAAACGAACGAGTAGGTCAGTCAACCAGTCAGTCGTGGTGGTGATGATTAAGGAAGATGCGCCCATGCTCATCGGCTGTAAGATACATTAATTGCTCCGGCTTTCGTTCGACGGCGCGTAGACGATGTTCCGTGTTACGCCATAATATATATCAGCTCATGGTTATCCTATCTTTCTTTCAGCGTAGATGTTACGTACATGTAACGCCAATAACAACAACAAGCAAGGTTCTGGGCTACGTATTTCATTTGTATCAACACGACGACAGCAGCTGTCAGTGTAGTTCAGAAAAATACTCAAAAATCTAAAACATACATTCGCTATCTACTTGTTGTGGTAATCCTCCCAAAGCCCGCGAGCACGGGCGAGCATTGGGCCACCACGATGCCAGTTCGTGGATGATGGAAACTCTTTTTGAGAGAGGTCGCTGCGTGTGGGTGGTGGGGGCGAGCGAGCGGAACAACACATGTGCACACGCCTGCACGGGGCCCCGCAACATGAAATAAATGGCCCTTGTTCCGCTGTCCCCTGTCCCCTCAACCTCAACCGCTCGCTGCCGCGCCGGCTGTCCTGTGTCCGGCTTCTCTTGCACTCTTTCGGAGCTCGTCTATCTCGTCAAGAGATAACTCGCCCCGTATTCAGCAACCATCAACGCAAAACCCCTAGCAACACCACCACTAACACCATGAGGGAATGCATCTCCATCCACATCGGGCAAGCCGGAATCCAGACCGGTGAGGTTTCGAAAAGGTGCAGGTAGATGGGTGTGTGTGGTTTTCGTTTTTGTGTCAGGCAGGACGGGTTCTCCACCCGTTGTCTTCTGATCCGCGCGCAGGAACCAAGCGCGTGACCCCGCCAACGGCCGCCGCCAAAGGCCAACAGGAAGAGGCGTTGCGCAGTACGGTGTGCGTCCTTGCGCGTGGAACGCTGGCGTTGCGTGACCCACGTGCAATGTCAAGCCGTGTCTGTTCCCAATTATTTTACCTGCTGAGAACCGCAGGATTAGGAGAGGACGCCCAGCCTCCCGCAGCCCGAGCTCCCGAGACAACTTACATTCGGGATTGCGCTGGCTGAAACCCCAATTTGCAATTGGGGAATGTCACGGTTCCACCATGCCGCCACCGTTAGATGCTTCATTTACTCCTGGTCGTATCCTTTTTGTTGGCCCAATTGCTTTTTGCTCTGCATCTCGGTGATCGCTAAACGTTCAAATATGCATATGCATCGTACATTTGAATCTGATGTACAGCAGCAGTACAGCAGTAGTCTACTGCTTGAAAACGCCTCTTCGAATGTCCTTTCAAATCAGAATGCATGTTTCCGATTGCATACTACATGATTTGCATGTATGGATACATGAATGCATCACGACTTCGTTACCTCGCACGCGTCTCAAAAATCACAGGTAACGCTTGCTGGGAGCTGTACTGTCTCGAGCACGGTATCCAGCCCGACGGGCAGATGCCCTCGGACAAGACCATCGGCGGCGGCGACGACGCGTTCAATACTTTCTTCTCGGAAACAGGTGAGGCGGCGCTCCGCTACGTACAGCAGCAGTGCTACCCATTTCATTGCTGTGACAGCTCACCAGGATACATAACCGCTAGTTTTTTTTGTTTTCTCAGCGATATGTACAACGACTATTCCATACTGGCTGGTGCGCTCTGTCGGAACCTAATATTGTACACCATTCCTTTGAACACCCAGGTAAGTAATCTAGACTACAAAATATATTTAGTCTAAAGCCTGGAATTGAGGCATCTGGCGGTTCCCTACTGCCCTAGACTATGTAATACTGCCGTGTGTCAATTGATTCTGGAAGCAACGATGCTGCGTGCTTTTCAGTATAGTGACAAACCATTAGTCGTTGCGTGTTTCATCTACATAGACGCGTGAATAGGTGGAGATATGTTGGTTGTGTTTGTGGTTATCATATATCTACATGTAGAGTTTGGCACCGATTCAGCTGGCCGTCCGTGCGCTCACCAACTTTGGTCCGTGTTTATCAACCCAGATCTCACGCCTTTCCTCGATGTTTTTGCTGCTTCCTCCCACCTTCATGTGCAACCGAGAACAGGCGCGGGAAAGCACGTGCCCCGCGCGGTTCTGGTTGACCTGGAGCCTACCGTATGCGACGAAGTCCGCACGGGAACCTACCGCCAGCTCTACCACCCGGAGCAAGTAATCTCGGGCAAGGAGGACGCGGCCAACAACTACGCCCGCGGCCACTACACGATCGGAAAGGAGATCGTGGACCTGGTGCTCGACCGCATCCGCAAGCTGGCCGACAACTGTACCGGCCTCCAAGGCTTCCTGGTGTTCCACGCTACCGGAGGCGGGACCGGATCGGGCCTCGGCTCGCTCCTCCTGGAGCGCCTCTCCGTGGACTACGGCCGGAAGTCCAAGCTGTCCTTCGCCATCACCCCGGCGCCGCAGGTAGCCACGGCGGTTGTCGAGCCCTACAACTCCGTGCTGTCCACGCACGCTCTGCTGGAGCACACGGACTGCACCTTCTGCCTGGACAACGAGGCGCTGTACGACGTGTGCCGTCGCAACCTCGACATCGAGCGCCCGACGTACACGAACCTGAACCGGCTCGTGGCCCAGGTTATCTCGTCCCTGACGGCCTCGCTCCGGTTCGACGGCGCCCTTAACGTGGACGTGACCGAGTTCCAGACCAACCTGGTGCCCTACCCTCGCATCCACTTCATGCTCACGTCGTACGCGCCCATCATCTCGGCGGAGAAGGCCTACCACGAGCAGCTGTCGGTGGCGGAGATCACCAACTCGGTGTTCGAGCCCGCCGGCATGATGACCAAGTGCGACCCCCGCCACGGCAAGTACATGGCGTGCTGCCTCATGTACCGCGGAGACGTGGTGCCCAAGGACGTGAACGCCGCGGTGGCCACCATCAAGACCAAGCGCACCATCCAGTTCGTGGACTGGTGCCCCACCGGCTTCAAGTGCGGCATCAACTACCAGCCCCCGACCGTCGTGCCCGGCGGCGACCTTGCCCGCGTGCAGCGCGCCGTGTGCATGGTGGCCAACACCACCGCTATCGCCGAGGTGCGTAAATAGGGGAAGTTTGACGAAGTTTTTTTTTTTTCAGATATCTCGCCACGTTTTCGGGGATTGGTACTCAAACACGTAGATACTTTTTTTCCTTGTTTTGCACCTGCGTTCTTTTTTTTGGTTTTGGTTGGGGTTGATCGGAGCACGTCTACGCACATTTTGTAGGTCCCGTTGTACATGGTTACCTCTTTCGATAGGCAGTGTTGTGCTATCTTCCGCTTGGAGCAACAGCATGTCTTATTTGAACTGACACCCCTCACCATTCCTTCCCCGCGCGCTTGTGCGCTCTCAACGTGCTTCAGGCGCTGTCCCGCATCGACCACAAGTTCGACCTCATGTACGCAAAGCGCGCTTTCGTGCACTGGTATGTGGGCGAGGGTATGGAGGAGGGCGAATTCTCAGAGGCGCGCGAGGACCTCGCGGCCTTGGAGAAGGACTACGAAGAGGTCGGCGCCGAGACCGCAGAGGGCGAGGGCGAGGAGGAGGACTTCGGCGAGGAGTACTAGTTTCTTGCCCCACGGACGCGAATTCAAAGAACGCGGCAATAATGCCGTAGATGGTTTGGTGACAGTCGTCCCCATTTTATCAATAAAAATCTTCGGTTAACTCACATCTTTTCGACGCAAGTCAACAGACGACAGCAGTAGTGGTGGTACTTGTACATGACGTATTTTCGAATCTGATTGTGTGACGCGCCACCCCTGCCCGTCTTTGGGTACCGATGCTGTGACGGTGTTTTTTGGGGGGGCGCCGTAGATTCCGGTGTATTTTCCTTCTTGGGACTTGTGACCAAGCCGCCGCTCCTCGGCACCAAAGGGGGGAGACACAAGAAATTTTCGTTCGTTTGCCGTGGGAAAGAGCGATTTACAGATTTTGTCGCCGTCTTGGTGTTGGTATGGTGAGCGGCGTTGCTTTTCCTCGGCTTTTCCACACATTCTTGTCGTCCCGCCGCAGTATGCCCTGCTCAGGGCGAGCTTCGGTCGACAGAAATTGTAGGTGATGGTGTTTTGGTACTTTCGGATTCACACTTGAACGGCCTCCACACACACGGTGTAATAAAATGCAAACAGGATATACATTGGTTTGGGCGAAAGGTATGATGTTGTTCGGGAGGTGGATGGTAGACGTCGTGGATCCTGCAGCAGAGACAGAGAACCTTCTCGTCTCCGCTTGCACCCACATGACCTCGAGAACAACACAGCTATTCCTGTGGGTGTCAACCCCATTCATGAAGTCACCGCGCGTTGTTTCGACCCCCGCCACCCAGGCCTTGTCGTTGCGGTTGTCTTCATTGTAAAGACCTGTCTTTCCGGCCTCCGCTCAGAACGTTCTGATATCCGACCTGTCTAACTGAGGCGGACGCCCTTCGTGCTCACAGGCCAACTGCCCGACAAAGGGTTCACATTGCTGTACCAGAGTCACAGTTTGGGTAAAAAAACCCGACCCAGACAAAACGTCCCAAACGCGATAGACGAAAATACAACGAAGAACAAGAATGAAAAGGCCTTTCACCAAGCAGTGCAAAGCACCAATAAATCAGGCGCACAGGTACGCCATGAACCGGAACGAATTGCTCGATGGACCATCGAATCCAGGTCTACCTAAGTTTGGTCCATCTCGCCATCGAGTGCCGGTCCATCCAATTCCTTCTCCAGCACGATAAGCCAACGGCACATGTTTGGGCTGGTCATGCGCTGCTTCGTCGTGTACACCACCGCCAAGCGTGCCGGGTCTCCCGCAAGATCACCTTGACTCATCTTTTCGAGCAATCCTGTCGGCAGTCTGTCAAGCCGCGCCTCGGCGCCTCTCAAGGGCAGAAAGAAACACAACCGTCCGCCGGGCTTGAGAGATGACCTCGCTAGTGCAAGGAGAGACCAGATGACTTTACCCACGAGATCTTTTGCGCTCGCTTCTGCCCTAGCGCCACCCCCCGCCTTCCACTCCGAGCCGGCTTCACTAGCGGCATGGGCGGTCGAATCGATACCGGCTGCGGGCAAGACCGAACCCGCCTCCTCATGCCGCCCAGATGTCTTTGTTGCTAGGCTGGTGGTGACGACTTTGGCCTTAATGTTGTACGGTGGATCGGTGACAATAGCGTCGTAAAACCTGAAGGGGCGACGTGGGGGCGACGAGGGCATCGTTCTAGCTGAATGGAGCGTTCGCCTACCCTAGCGGTACCTAGGATAGCCTACCTGTAAAGTGCGAATGAACATGTGCACTTTCCCAGTGAAAAACGTTTCGTCCCGAAGGGCTTTGCGCTAGGCAAGAGAGGCTTTCCTCTAGGTAAGGGCACCAGGGTCCTTACCAATTATCAACTTCATCTAAACAGTAATGCTTGGCCCCTAAATATGCAAACAAAACAGTGGCAAGAAAGAGGCCGTTCTACAGGAAACTCGATTCCGGTTGAAGGCCTCCACGCAAGTAAGTCAAAACGTAAACCACTACCTGTACAACACATGTTGAAAACTCGCCAATGCACAATAGTAAATAATGATGCAACATGCCTCTGTTCGTTCGACGGAGCAAAAGACCAGCATCTTCCATGGTGAAATTCACGGTGGAGAAACACCCCTTCCATACATGAGCGCACAGTAGAAACACAGCTGTGCACAAAGGACGCGGATATCAAACCGATCTCTTACTCGGGTCTCCGGACAGGAGACTCTTCGTCCCCAACGTCTGCCGCAACAAGCGTAGGAGCGGCAACGCCCAGCGCTTGAAAGTCCTGATAAATCTGTTCGAAGTCTTCACGGTCGGCTTGGCGCACCCCCCCTTCTGCGCCCGTGTCGCCGCCAACAAGTGCTCCAGCTTCCTCGCTAGCGGTAGCCGGGCCACTCACGTCGCTACCCCATGTTTTCGCGCCCATGTGCGCCGCCGGCAGCAGGAGGGAGCACGATCCGCAGAATGGGTCCAACACTCGAGAACCCGGTCGGACCTTGCTTGGCGATAAAAACGAGACAAGGACGAAACGCGACAGAGATTGCGTGCGACTGACTTCCGTACTTTCGTCGTTTTCGGGGGACAGCCTCTATTTCTGCTGTGCGTACGTGAGAAAATTTGAGTGTGGGTTCCTTTCACCACGGGCCTGATGCTGTAGAAAGTTGCGGAAACTATCCGCTTTGAAACTCCCGGATTCGCGACCTAACTGTAGGGATGCATCGAGTTCTTGAAGGCACCAACAGAGGTTACAAATTGCACCTCAAGGGTCGACAAGCTCTAAACAGTGCGCCAATGGTACAAGTTTCGTTGTGCCTACATGTCTCTACGGGTCGCCAAAAAGCCCACCTTAGCAAGGTTCGCCATAATCAGCGCCACCTCTGGCTCGATTGCCGTGGGTCCGCGACACCTTCGCCGATTGAGCGCCAACGCGCCCAAAACGCCCCTGGTTGGGCGCCTCCCGCATCCCGTCGCCATGACCGTCCCGCCCACCCCTACGGCAGCCCCAAGTTGCAACTCCCGACAGATATAAAACGTGTTCTCTCTCCTCCTTCTCGCTGCTGCGGATGCTTCGGCGCGTTCTCGGACATCTCGCGGTAGATTTTCGGCGGGGGGCGGGCAAAGATCCTCGATGATCCGGACGCGGATATCGCTATTCACCAACTCGATCCTTCCGCAAATCAACGCGGAGAAAGCAACGTGGGTACCAAGCGTTTCAGAATAGTTCACACGGTGATCGTGGGCAGGCATCAAGCTGCGGAGGTTCGACGAAGTCCACGACATGCGCACAGCAGTGAGGCCCAAAATCCTGGTGTTGCTACAATCTTGTCGTCAAGGGCAACATTCGGAACATTACTAAGGTTAGCACACCAGTGTATGCCCGCTTTTCATGAAATGTATGTTAGCGGTTCGCACAGCACACCTACGTCAATTGAGCGTCACTGCTGTAGAGGAGTGGTTTCGGGTAGCTGGTGTTTGGTTTAACGTACGCGGACAAAGTTGTGCACCGTGCTGACTATTGACTACAAATTGCCCCACGCTACAGAAATCAACTGATTTCGGCTACATGCCTTCACCTACTCGGTTTTGCGTGCCCAATAGTAACACATGTTGGTAATGTTGCGCATGAAACATAAAGGGGAGATTGCATTGCTACCGCGCGAAAATCTTCAAGTCGCAACGTGTTCAGACTAATCGGCTTGGCACGAAAAAACGAATGGGCATAGTACGGTTTGCAGAAGAAATACACTTCGACGGCATACGCGCGTGGCAAAACAGAAAGGAAACAAAAGTTTCGTGCGTACCTTGGGCCCTTCAAGAACGAGGACAAAAACGTCTCCACGGGACCACCGGCGAGAGCCTGCTGTTCTTCTTTATTGAGGTTAGACCGGCCGTAGCGTGTTACCCCCAGAGACCAAGAAGCGTTGCCGGCGTGCTGAAGAAAGCGACCCGACCTGAAATAAGACAAGCAAAAGCTTCTCGTTGTCTTTATACATCTCGACTCTTGTCTGCTTTGATATAGCCCAAAACACCGCTTAAACAAACCGTCAAGAACCGGCAACGTGGACGCCATCGCCCGACACAGCAGAGAAAAGCATGGACAGCGTATCGGGCCTCGAAACCTGGAACAAATACCCCGCATACCTTCGAAGACCATATAAACTACGCAGCATAAACACTTCTCCCCGCGAGCATATGCGCTTACGCGGGGGTAGCTTGAACCGACTTGTGAATGGCTTACCGGCGTATCTAGAATCTTCGGGCTATGCTAGTGCACGAGTGCATGCTAATTCAGCTGGTTACTGCTTGTCCAGTCCGCAGGCTTCAGCCCAAATGAACAGACGGCCCAGATGTGGACCCAGTGACAGGCGGAAATATGCCCGGTATCAGGTATATCGATGACAACACAAACTGCTTTATTGGAGAAGCCTTGCCGGACTGCAGCGCACATTCCGTTCGATCAACCTGTTGCTTCTCTCACTTGAATGCATCCCTGATGGCGTCCTCCCGGTTCCGACCATGCCCCCATACTTCGAAGAGCCCGTGCAGCAAAACGCACCTGATATCGTGCCGTGCGGCACACCGCAAAGAGCGTCATGAGCAAAATTTACACAGCGTTTAGCGGATTAGGTAGGTGTTGACGACTCGCTGGGTAACAGCAGAGCGTAGGCGTGTTGCACAGAAGTAGATACGACCTCGAACCTGACACTCTGTTCCAAGGACGAGGGTGCTGATTGTATCCTTCGCAAACGACGCCAACGCAGAAGGAAGGAATCCGCGTTCTGACCACCGGATGGGCGATGACAAGATTTCCACTCTCGCATCAGCTCGTAGAACTAACAGCGGTACTGCATGGAGGCATCGAGGGAAGATACGAGGGGTGCGCACCTCGAAGCTGCCTCCGCGATTTCCGCATCGTCCATCCGCGAGTCTACCCACTGGAAAACATCGGAGCCGTCTGTTTGTCGCAGACGTAGCATGTCCTGTTGTTCCGAGCGTTTCGTTTGTGTCGTCGAAGCGATGAGCTCTTGCGGTGCCAGCTCGAACTTCTCGTAGGGCCCAAAACCACTCGTGTGCCGCGATCTCCCTCTGTGCCCGGAGAGATAAACACAACGACGAATCATGAAGCTGTTTGGGCAAAATTGTCCAACACGTGATTACAAGTGTTTCTGCGGGCCAGCCCCCCCCGCTCGCTTACAATCATCAGGGAAGTATTTTCCCACAATGTCGACGGACAAATGCACGTATGCATATTGAGAGGCACGTTCCATGTAAAGGAGCACTGCGTTGACCGGTGCTTCTCTCGGAAGGCAGTATAGCTCTTGTTACCTGGGTTTGCAGGAGCTCACCTGAACGCAACCAATCTCAGAGATCGCGTGCTGGCCGATAGCGCGTTGATCCTACGGAGGGTGACCAAGGATAGCACGAAGCGGGTGCCCCTCATCCTGTTGTTATCGTGCGGCACGCCAACAACTAATCTACGAAGCATGGACCGTCACAAATCAAGCACCGCCTCCGTTCCCCATCAAGCAGGCCGTATGCATTCACACAACTCTTACAGACCTACGGTGTGCAGGAGCTATACAGCAGCAGTAGTCGAGAGGCTACACGAACCTGTGAGTCGTTGATGGGCTTGTGACCATTCAAATCACTTCTTCGTTCCTTGTCCCCGGAAAGTGAAACGAGGCTTTCTCGTTGTACCGCAGCACACCAACACCCCCTGCCGATCTGTCGACACTTCAATCAAACGTGCACTTGCTTCCCCCAGCCAACTGTACGCTGGGAGGTGAACAGGTTCTGATATTGTATGTAACACAGCTGTTGTTGATATCGTTGTGTTTTTCCTCCGTCGGCTGATCAAGCAGCAAGAAGCTGTTTTTGGTGTGCAAGTTGCCAGCATTTTCCCCCCGCTTTCGCCCGCACCCACCGCAAATTGCCAGTTGCCAGTGCCAGATCTCCCCGCCACCCTCTTTCGCTCTCCTCTTCGGAAGCGCGCACAGGGATGGTCGGCGTTGTTATTGTCGGGGCTGGGTTATCAGGCTTAGTCAGCGCCCTCCACTTGCTCGACCGTGGAGTGCCAAGTGAAGCAATTACCATCCTGGATGGGAGGGAACGGGTTGGCGGGAGGCTTGAAGCCCACCAAGGTTTGAATGCTGAAATACATAGAACAACACACATATTTATCCAACGAAGTGGCGTCCGCGCAGCAACAAGGTCGACTTATATTCAAACCTTTGCTCCCGAAGATCCTCTACATGTAGGTACTCTGGGGTTCAGCAGCATCTCTCGCACACCACCGTTGCTTGTCTATGTTCGTGAACCCCAACAGGAAGAACAACGCCACTTTTTCTGATTTCCTCCCTGCACCCTGTTACCAAGGTGTTGACATCGGGGGCGCGTGGTGTTGGACCTCTGCGCACCACCAAATGCCCGCTCTGGCGCAGAGATTTGGGGTGGCACACTTTCCGCAGTACGACGAAGGTGTCCACGTCATCGACTACGGGAGCCAGAAATCGGTTGCCAGGTAAAGAACATACTGTAGTCTACGCTTGGCGGGATGACGAGATCCGAGACGAAGCAATAACAAGGCGACATATCTTCGTACCGACAAATCTAAGACTTGTAGAAAGGATGGGCCCGCTGGTGTTTCGGCATCGTTATGCGGAAAAACACAAAAAGTACTTCGAAGTACATACCTTCTGCCTATTGTCGATTATTGGGTGCAGGAATCTCTGACTCTATCTCTGGCAACAGCCAGGTTGTAGACTGGTATGTGTATGTATGTAGTATTACCACCACCCCCTTCGCCAAGCCCCGTCACGGTCTACGGTCGGATGTTGTTGCCCCTTCGACGACCAGGGGCTGCGAGTTTCGCCCTACGCGCTCGACGTACCTGCTTCTCCATGGTACATAGCTAGTCTAGCAACTGTGGTGCAACGCTCGTTGTCGCGCGCTGTCTGCAACAGAACTCGACAGCCAATGGACTCTCCCAAGGTGCGCTTCCAAGGCGGGGCGGCGGCCGTGACGGATGCCCTGGCTAGCCACGTACGCGCCAAGGGGGTAAAGATTGTGCTAGGCTGCGTGGTGAACAAAATATCTACGACCGATGCCGATGCGGTGCTGGTGGAGGGTGTAGAGGTGAGAGGGCTTTATATGCGGCGCGCTTCAACCACTGAGCAAGACCTGCCTCTTTTTTTGTGAATGCGCGCGCCGCGTGGTTGGTTGTTTGCCGGTGCTCGTTTTGCGCCACAATGCAGCTCAGCTCACGCGTGCCATCAAGTAGACGTCCCTGATCACTCCCCTTTGTCGAGCTCCGCCGGGTAGATGATACCAAGTCGAAGTTTGCACGCGGCGTTTTCGAAAACTATTTACCTGCCCACCATGGTACAATAGTAAGTGACGAGAACATCCGTCCGATAAGAGAGCTCATGCCTGCCACTTTCCTCTCTGGCGTGGTCACCGTCGTCGTCTCCAAAGCTGGCCGAGCCGAGAAGTTGGAGAGCCGGTGCCGCACTGCTGGCGATTCCTCCCCGCCTTATCCTGCCGCCGCTAATTTCGTGGGAGCCAAGCTTGCCGGCTGAGCTCGCCGAGGCTGCGGGGGCAACTCCAACGTGGATGGCAGACACCACCAAGGTGCAACAATATCGCGGTTTGGCCACATTTGAAGCGCTATGCTCGAAATTTCATAACGCAAAATCACAAGAGGTCGAACACGGGAGTCGGGGCCGCGCTCCACGTCCACATGACAACGTGGTTATTGGTTGATGGCATGTTTTGCTGGACGTACGCGTGTTCCACGTAAGGCCCTCCCAACCTCCGTGTTTTTCTGTCACGTTAATTGCCCTAGGTTCTAGTGACGTATCCGCGTCCGTTTTGGAGGGAGCAGGGTTTAAGCGGGACCGCAATGGGCTACGGGGAGGGGCCCATCAACCAACTCTACGATTCGTGTGGTTCAGACGGCAGTGAACCCCACGCGCTTTGTGGGTTTATTTTTGGCGCCGGGGCGGACCTTCCTGGCGATGACACCCTAAGGCTGCGGGTGAGCACACGTTTGTTTCGACAAGGGAGCCATCGATCTACACTCGTAGTGTGTATGTATACTAGCGCCATGTTGTCGGAGCGTGGTGGGCCACACACTTCGAGTGCGAAGCATCTCGAGGCCGCTGTGTCCCATGTCGGTCCTCGTACTGATTCGGAATGTCACCATCCATCGGCCAAGCGCACCATTTGTGGGGGGCCTTCCGTGGCATCCATCTGCGCCTTTTGCCACCGCTAGGTGATCGAGCAGCTCGAACGGATGTTCGGCGCTGAGGCCAGGTCTGCTCTGAGCTTCTCCTCTCATCGCTGGGGGGAGCAGCCCTTGACAAGCGGAAACGGAGGTGGCACAGGCGGAGGACACGACGACATGGGAAAATCTGAGCTGAAGATACCGTTCGTGAGTTCGACCAACGCGGTTCGCAGCATGGCGTATCTATCGCCTGTTTCTTATAGATCAACACCGAATGGTTTCTTGGATCTGCTTGCGGTATCGATCAAATGAGTGGGGTTGACGTGTCATTGGGCGTCTTTTTCCCCTGGATGATCATTTTCGTCTCTTGTGCTCTCCCGCCCGACCCCGTCGCACTGTTGACGGCCAACATCTCCACAACATCTCCTCAACACCATGACAATACCAACGACGTCAACAGGGCTCGGCTTCACATGGCGGAGCTCCTCGTGTCTGGTTATCCGCGGCGGAAACTGATGCGAGGCACGCGGGACTGATGGAGGGTGCTCTTGTGGCCGGAAAGAGGGTAGCGGAACAGGTGCGTCAGCATCAAGCTTCGATCGCGGCGGGTTCAGCACGATTTTTTTTTTGCGTGTCAATCAAATGTGCGTGTGTGTGCACCCTCTTTCTTAGAGTATCGCAGTCCGACGAAACATCGGCGGGATAATACCTCTGCCCAGGCGCTGGTCGCTGCTACTGAATAGTGGTCCCTCGGTCACCTCCTGGAAGGAAATAGGCCGCCCCTCTGCAAACGGAAGGAGACAGAATCCCGATGCAATAGCAGAAACACCGCGGATGGTTGCATCGCAGAGGGGTACCGCAAATAGCCACGTTGTAGGATAGAGGCCAGTGTTGCTGCTATTCCACACTCTCTCTCTTCTATGCAGATGGATGCCCCTGCTGCTCCTTAACCGTGTCTTGCTTTCCTTTTCCCCTTCCGTTTCGGCGTTTGTCGTTTGGGCAGAGGGGGCGGGGGATATCGCACCTCCTTTACAACGTGTCTCTTCGTTGGGAACCCAAACAAGCAGCAGTTGTCCTCGCATGTCCATCCGCCTCGTGCTGCCTCCCGCCTTCATTTGATTCAGTACGGAAGTGTGGATGTACCACGCACCTCTGCCTTGATGAGGGGTCTTCGAGGTGTGCGAGCAAGCCCAAATTGCGTGACTGACCATCTTTGTCTTTGTTGTGACCAGGTAATTCTCGCAGGGATCGTGGCGTCAAAGCAAGACAGCGAAGCAGCCAAAGAAGAAGAGGCCACGTGTACGGCGTCGGGAGGAAATGCGCTTTAGGCTAACCTATGTCATGCGCCGTATTGGCCACGAAGCGAAAGACGAGCAGCACCCACGGCCTCCTCTTGGACAATGGTTAGTGACTAGGCTGGCTGCTGCTGTTTTCCTTGGATCCAGGCTACAAAAATTGACCACATGTATGCATAGTTGGCAGGATTTTTTTTGCTGAACGCAATGGGTGTTGAAAGCGCTACATTCGTATACTGAAGTTCGTGTGTACTCTTTGAGGGAAGAGAGTGCTGCACTCTTCTCGCGGTAACAACCGAAGGCAAGGACCGCAGGAGGGGTGGAGGGAGGGGCACCCTTCTGTGTGATCACGGATTGGAGCAGCTCATACACGGCAGATGCTGTGGGTGGTGTAAGCGCTGATTCAAAGTGACGGGTAAAAAAACGGAACGGAGCAGCGTCTCGATCGAACTGCCGAGAGAAGACTACGGGGGTGTTGCCGAGTGTCCAGAGATGTTTCCTCGGATGCACACGTATTTTTGCCGGTTTTTGCAATAGACATGCGATGCAGGTCGTTGAATGTCTTGGCACAGTCGCGTGACTGACTGCGTGTTGGAAGGTAGAGAGTCTACAACATTGCGGTTCTAACTGATGGCGACACCAATGAAACAAGACCAAAGTGGCTCGAAGCGTGGATGTTGCGGATTTTTGGGATGCGTGCTCATTTGCACACCAGCTCGACGCGTACCGATGGAAAATGTGCGGTTGCACGGACGGTGCAGCCGAAACACACGGAGCAGTTGATGGTACAGCAGTGTGTGCATGCACGCGAAACACCTCAAGATGCATGTCTAACACTCATCAGTGTTGGGAGGACCGTGGAGGACGGTCATAATTAGTCATGCCTCCTGCGAAAACGCCCGGTCGATCTGGATTGCTTGCTTGTCGGAGATGATTGGGTCGTTTGACATATCATGGCATAACCATTTTTGCGGACAATAATCTTTGGTGCTTGCAGTACGTCGCCGGCAACGCCCCAAGCAAGATGCCAACGATGGCTGTCTCGGTGCAGTCGTCTTCTCACCGCTGGTTTGTTATGTAAATGGTGTTGCTTATACAAAACTGCCCAAAAGACAAGGACGAATACCAAGACATGCCACGCCTTTTCCCCCCGTTCATGCCTACAGTACCTGCAAGAAGGGACGGTCAACCCCATACAGAGATAAACAAAAAATAATCAACCCGGTAAGCCACACATGATCGTGCAGACATGACACTCGTCACCTGCTACGCTACACTTGGCTCGTCGCTGTCACCGTACGCGTGGTACATCGTGCTCCAATTTGGTGGCGCAGGGCACGTTACAATCAAAACCAAGCAGTGACCCAAGTGAGTAGTCGGTTGGGTACAGGAGGGGCGAACTATCTGGGCCGCCACACATCCGCGGCACAACATAAAAAATCTCCACGCGTCACCGATTGGGGGTTGTTGTTCAAATTCATCCCGAAATGCACTTCACGGAGGCCTGTTGTTTTCCTTCTACACCCGGGTTTTCCCGCCCAAACCCTTGAACATCCACCGAAAAGACGCGATTGGTGCTAGACAACACCATCACCATCTTGTCTCTCGCTCAATCGACCACGCCAGGAAGCTCGCAACAGGACATGCACTTCACCCACCCACCCCCCTTCCTCTCTCCCGACTCGAAGCACTCCACCTGCCGGTAAATCTTCCGAGATAAAACGCTCGTCGCGCCTTCTTCCCAGAGGTCGTCGGTTCCTGAAATTACCTCGAATCTGCCACGAGCCTACTTCCCGTTCCCAACCTCGCCACGACTATCCTCGACGATAACTTGCCCCCCTTTGGGAGCGGGAACGTGCCGGCGTCTGCGCAGCCAGGGTTGTCAACTCGGAGGGCTTGGAAGTACGATACAGCACCGGTCTTAATGACGTAACAATCGACCTCAACTTTGTCGGGCGTCCATTTTCCCAGAGGGCGGACCTAATTTCCCGACAACCCATCTCTCCCTCACCACACAAGCTTCTCACGCAGGAAGGAGCTTGACTCGAGACAAACGCAAATCCGGAACGACAACCCACACAACCCACAACTGCTGTTACTACCCTTTCGCCCCCGCTGCCAGACCAGACGATCGCCACAAAAGCTTAGTCCACCTTGATGGACGCGTAAATCTTCCGCGTGAACCAAAGGCAGGAGTAGAACCCGATGCACCCCGTCAGGGCCGCGAGGCCCAGCGAGAGCAGTGCCATGTACCCGAAGTACAGGACGTACGTGGCCAACATGGTGGACTGGAGGTTGCTGAAGTAGATCGCCGAGTAGGCGAACACCCACGCGCCGGTCGATGCCGTGGTGAGGAATGAACGCCACCACCTGGTTGTGGTTCAGCAAAACGCCGGTCGGTTTGTTAGTTTGGTCGTGCCGTCGTTGGTTCACATCACGATTGTTAAATGAGCCATTGGTTTACCACATGCATGCTGTAGTGTTTTCGTCGAAGGACAACGGTGAGTATATGGGAAGGCCGTGACGCACACGTATGGAGCAGTGGCCTAGCCTGACGAAGACCTTCGCACTCAAAAGCATGGCGGCAAGCGACGAAGACCTTGCACGCAGCATATTACTCTCGTATCGCACTTGGACTAGAAATGATCAGCACACACCCTGCGGCTGTCCCTACTCTGTACTTGGCTCTCAAAGAGAAAGTGCATCTATCCGTCGGACAGATGTAGTCGAAGGCGCGTACGCTCTCTCGCGTGCTGGACACAAAGTGGAAACGAGTCGAGATCGTGAGGAAGCAAGCCATTTCCAAGCCCGCAACCCCGCACCGCTCGAAGGTACATGCTGCACTCACCAGTGGTAGTCCTCGGCGCAAAGCTGGAAGTAGCAGAACACCATGGCGATGTCGGCGCACGTCACGATCAAGATGATGAACACCAGCATGAGGAAACCGAAGACGTAGTAGTAGTTGCCCATCCACAAGGATTGCAGGATGAAGAACATCTCGATGAAAACCGCGCCGTAAGGGAGAATGCCACCCACGGTGATGGTGAAGCAGCTCCACAGGAACCACGGCTGGTCAGGGATCTAAAAGATTCCAAGAAAAAACATAAAAAAAAAGGGGAAATGAGCCTTGGCAACGTGATGAGATTCTACTTTTCACGGTACATATGCATAGTAAAGGAAGGGTGTGGATGTGACAAGCACGTATTAGTACCAACATATCTTCCCGCGTGCACCGCATACAAAAGCGCGGTTGAGAAACAAAAACAAAAAAGGCGCTTCTCGAATGCACGCAACACGGCAGCAGAGCAGCAGTGGCAAGCGGGGTCCCCTCAGACCGTCAAAACTTTATACGATACGATGTTTGGTAAATTATGCCTCACAGGTGAATAGGAGAGAAGATTGTGGCATCATAGGGGACCCCGACGCTACGCCCCTTGAAATCAAGGCTTGCCTTGTCGACATGTGGTGTCCGACGATGACATCACGCTGCGAATAGCCCCATAGCCCAACAGCTCTACATGCCTTGGAGCTTAATTTAGCACTTCAAAGAAAACGGCATTGGTAAAACAAATTCCCCCCAAAAAAAACTCGTGGTCGTTGTGTCCCTTCTCGAGAGATAAAACTGCTCCACCGGACATACGCCAACATGTCCAGCTAACATTATGATGGAATAAATCAACCTGGTGTACGGCTTCCCACAAGCTCTGCTGCGCATGAGGCAAACATCAGACCACTGATCGCCTGGCTCGATCATCACCCACTAGACCCAACTACGCATACAGAGCGCAAGATGTCGCAGCAGGTCTCCGCTGCGGGAAACCAATCACACCGCAGCCAACATGAGCCTGGTAAAAACATACGGCAACGTGGATGACAGAGACATGATGTGTCTGTCGTCTTGTCTTGTCTCACCTGTCGAGGGATGTTGGAGGTAACAACCGGGTAGGGCTCCACGGGCTTGCGGTAGCCGAAGTAAGCCCCCAAGAACACCATGGGCACGCTGATGCAGAACCACAAGGCGAGCACCTTGATGATCTCCACGAAGGGCACCGCCTGCAATGCCATGCCATGCCATGCCATGCATGCCATTCAACAATAGACATGCCCCACACCACCGACAGCAACAGCACAGTCCATACCGTTAAATCAGGAAAAACACAGAGACATGAAGAGGTGCGTGAAGCTTCACGGATGGATCCGGTGCTCGTCTGCAATAAATACGCTAGACAAGACACGGCGAACGGTACACGCGCACGTGATAACAAAAAAAATTCGGGGGCGAACAACTGACAGCCATTGAATTGTCCCGTGTTGTGGGGCGGCAGAAGCACCACAAGCACACTTCTCATCGCTCTAGACGGCTCATCAGGCCACCCACCTGAGTAGAATGATATCTCTGCGACATGAGGTTGAGGGAGAGGAAGATCGTGAAGCACAGGGACGGGAAGAGTAGTGCCGTAAGCAGCGTGCACTGCTGCCACTGTCGACCCTTGAAAGACTTGTACAGGACGGAGCTCGAGTATCCGGCCGGCACTCCCATGAGCACATACAGGAGGAGCATCGACACCGCCAGACTGCCTCGGTTGGAGGGATTCACGAACCTGCACGCAATAAAAGGAAAACGCGTGGTTGTTGCCAGTCGCTAGTGCACACGCTCGAGAGCTGAACAACAAAGGTAGCGGAGTCAATGCACGAGATTAATGAGCCTTTCAAAACACGTCCGGTCAACACTCAACACAGTACAGGACGTATCGCAGCTCCAACACGTGGCACCGAAGCTACATTAATTAAGCTTCTCGCCTTTTCTCTCGGGCATTGATCTCTGCGCGTTTTCTTATGATCGCGTTCCTGCCAATGTGCCAAAACGAACCTGCGCTATTGCGGTACACTGACTGCAGGGGGTAAAAACCTCCATTAACAGCGTAGTGTTTCCAATGGCAGTCAGCAAAGGACACCTCTGCAGAACAAAGTAAATGTTCACACTGGTGAGAGTATTTTGTGGTGCTTTGGTCACACCATTGATACGCGAACGCGAATCTCTGCAGGCCATCAAAGGTACATGTAACCCCAACGGTAGATCTCCATTTCGAACCACTCCACGCACATACACGTACACGAGACACTTGGCGGTCTCAAGTGGGGTCCCCTCAGACTGTCAAAACTTTAAACGATACGATGTTTGTTGAACTGTGCCTCACAG